AGCAGCAGAAGTGCCGACCGACTTGGAATTCGCCGAATTGGGCTCTACTGGCCCACCGTCTTGCTCCTTGACAGGTCCTTTCTTTGGGCCTGCTGCGGCTGGAGATGAAGTGTTGGCCAACTTGGGCTCTGCTTGGTCCATGGACTCCCTTCGTGGCAGGTCCCCCAGAAGTGCTGCCACCTGAGATTGAACTCTTGCTCTCAGCAAAAGTCATCGCCTTGGCACCACCCTTCTCGACGATTATGTACGGGTCCTCCTCAGGCGGGCTGCAAAGAATCTTCCTGGGCAGGAGGTCGTGGAAAATGAGTACGGAGCAGGCTTGTCCTCCTGGAACAATGACTCCGTAGGTGAGTCCCTTGGCATCAAAGATGAGGCGCTGCCCTTCTTTTAGCTTGTAGACAACAATCCGATGATGGCCCTCTTGGTACCAATTATTCTTGTCCATGCTCTTGAGGTCCGCCTCATACTCCTCCACCAACTTCCGCTCCTTGGAGGATTCGGCATCCCCAAGGCTTTCTTTCCATTTCACGTACTCCTCATAGTCCCCAAGGTCCTTGGCAAAGTCGACTCGGTCCTTGTAGGCTGGCAGGCCCGGAGGCACAATGACAAAATTCCAGCTTTCACCTCTGACTGCGTAGATTGTCACCATGCCACCAATCGAATCTCTGTGCTTTTTCGTAAATTGGATTTCTTGGCTTGCAGCCACATTGTGGTGGGCTTCCGACCCTGCCAAGAGACCCGGTTGCTTGTTGCCGTCAATTTTCTCCCGAAAGTCCACATTGGAAGCCTCTGCAATCCGTACCATCCCCTCGTGGTCCATGCAGATTGCGCGACTGCTCTCAGCAATCTTGCGGAAATGATTGTTGTAGTCTTTGCTCTTGCTGGCGGCAAGTGCGAATTCTGTGTTGCCCAAAACGGAAAATTCCAGATCTGGCTCCCCAGGTATCATTTTCTGCAGCACATCATTGTCATGGAACTGGATGGAGCTGATTGGATGGTCTAAAGAAACGTTCTGTGCACAGAATCTCTTCTTTTGTTCGATCATGTCGGAAACGGGTGTAATGGAGTCAGAGTTGTTTGCTGTCGCCTTTTCATATGCCACTTGATCCAATTTGGCGCCAAGAGACTTTCGAGCCTTTCGATCTAATAGCACCTTTTTTACGCAAAAAACATTGAGCGGAGCCAAGATCCGATTGTTCTCACCATTTCGTCTCCAAAGGGTTTCAAGCTTTTCTCTGTGTGTCTTACAGAGATACATCCCTTTCTTTGGCTCACCATTTTCCATCTCCACAGGATGATCACACTCCTTGCAGAGTAGAGCAGATGAAGGGATTGGCGGTGGTGGTTGTTGTTGTTGCTGTTGTTGCTGCTGAGTCAAGTGGCGTTGTTGCTGCTGATTTCGTAGACGTAGGAGTTGCTGAGGGTTCAGTTGACCCATCTGCTGCTGTTGTTGGAGGAACTGGGGCCCAATCAATCCACCATTTGGCATACCGGTAGATAGAAATGGAACTGGAACCGGAACTGGAACCGGAACAGGGAAAGGGAAGAATCCTCCTACAAAAGGCCCAGGAGGCAGCCAAGGCATACCATTGGCAAAACCAAAAGGAGGAGGCACACCTCCTCTGGGATCACCATGGGGCAAATTCAAGGGTGGAGCTCCATTTTGCTGATTCTGTCTTCCATTGCCAAAGGCGTACTGATTGTTCATGGCTTTATGCGTGCTAGCTACGGTAGGGGAGCACGTTGCTGGCTATAGTATTAGTATGGTAGCTACACTGACACTGATCACAAGACAATGGCCGGAAGCTGGATGCTCGAAACACGAAGCTGGCTACCGGCGATAGTACGGTGGCTGGTGTTAAAGTACCAGTCCCACTGCGACATTGACCCTTATATCCACCAGAAGCACGTCCCAAGAAGCCAACCAGTATGACTGCCCGGCTCGCGGGACCACCACTTGTATGTTTCCTTTTTCAAAAGTCACGTTTGTGTCCGTCGGACCCAGCTGGCGAAACTTGGTAGCCTTGGCTGTTAAGTGGTTCGTAACGGGGTTAATTCATCTGTCCACCTTGTGCGGTCATCGGTGCGTCCTAAAAGACTCTTCGGCATGTTGAGAGAATTGGCTCATAAGTAGTTCTCGTTGAAACAGACAGAGCTTCACGGTGGCGGATTGTGAAAAATCATTCGATGAATGCATTCGAGTCGATTGATCATTCGAATTTAATCGAGTCTGGCCCCTATCCCTACCGCATCCGAGCATATCACCAGCTTACACGTGGAAGCAAGACTCGACGCGTCACACCGTCACTCTCTCGGAATCCTCGACAATGGGCGGGCGTCGAACGGCGCCGCAGTAGCAACAGCAGCGGCCGGAGACCCACCTGGATTTAACTATCTCTCTACGGCGGCACAACAGGCTGCTCTTGTTTGGATAGGCGGGAAGCAGCGGCAGCGACGGATCTACACTTCTTTCGTTGTTTCGGCAGGAGCGACCATTAGCGATGACACTTCCTCTTGCACGGTGCGACCTGCGACCATGACGCCTCTACTGCACTACCACTAACTACTGCGGCTCTATGACAATGGATCTATCGACGGATACTTCTTCCTTTTTGCAGCCGGAGTTTCGATCGATCCACTCTTCCGTGCGACGGAACAACTACATGTAATGGCTCTTCATTACCTTAACTCAATCAAGACTTCTCTCTACCATACAGCGGCTATGACTACTCCACCGGCTCCTCTTGTTCTACATACGACGGCGCAAAGTACTGATTTTCAGTTTCTGGCTGAGATGAAGAACGTGGAGCGAACTGAAGGTGGTCATGGGATGGGATGTCAAGGCGTGCAAACAACAGCCAACCGCTCCTTTCATTCCCAGAGGAAACTAGAGATGAGACGACGGAAACAAGTCTCATTTTACCGGTTGGAATAGCTGGAGGCACGAAGCCAAGCGATGGATCGAGGAAGCCAAGGAGCGAGGCGCATGCACTATGGTCGTTGTTGACAAGATTCTTGCCTCTCTCCGACGCACAGATTCAATGAAGATGCCATGGCAAACACTCCGGCGACGGCAACACTCTAGCACTCCGACGACGGCAACAACAAGTCTCTAATAAAAGTACTCAATTTCAGCCACTTTTGGCTGTTCTATTTCCAAACAAGCACTGCCGTCTCCGCTCGGTCGACTCCTACACTAACAGTGGGTGACGGTGAGCACCTCTACTCTATTATAACAACAACATGCATGTATCCTCCTGTCATAGTCGTCGATTGGTGTTTAGAGTGACTCTGTCCAATGGTGGGGATCAATTTGGAACACAGTTATTATCTAATCTAATCCAGTAGAGTGTAAGACTACTAGGCAAGTTTCACGTCCCAAAAAACGCCGGTTATCTGGCGCCGGTCGTGGATTTCAAGTGGCACAACCACCCGCCCACGGAGTGGGGCAACGAGAAAGGATAAGAAAGTTGCTCCATTAATATGATTCCTGTTCTCCCTTCGCAACTTGCAACAGCTAGTTACCCTGGCTACAGTACCGCTTCTTCACACACTGCGGCAGAAGAACCTCTGAAAGACCAGCCAACGAATGAGGACTCATATAACCCAACAAGCAGCCACGGCTTCTTGACTTTGGAGAACTTTTGGAAAGTGAGGAATGAGGGCAAGGACCTCCTGTACCCCAAGTCGATCGGCAACTGGAGCCAAATGTGCGAGATCAACCACAAATAAATGAAGATCGAGCTACTCGCTACAGTACCGGTAAGGTTTTTGGTCTTGGATTCTTTCTTCTGCGAGTTGTCTGGGAATGAAGTTGCCCTGAAAGGGGCAGTTGGCTGCTGTGCCAACGTGTTTTGTATTCATTAGGTTTCTATTCTTTGAGCATTCTGCCTTTTGCGCTGCTTGAAGTATGTGCATGTCCAGGGACAATAAACCCCCGTGTGAAGTTCGCATCTACAGCAGGAAGAAGTGATGAAATCCACTACTGTACGTAGTCTCTAGACTCTAGACTACTAGCAAGCTAGAGCGAGGGTTGCTGTGTTGCTGTAGATGCTCATCGGGGTCGAATGATTCAATCGAGTCGCATGGGCCAACGCGGTACATGCAGCTGTGGGGGGGATGATCCTGATCAGTTCGGCTCACAATACCAGCCAAGAAGGCAAGTTCGAGCACACCAAGCACAATGTTTGTTTCACAAGGCAAGTCCGAGAGTTGGGGCGACTTCCAAAATCGCTATGGCAAAGAAGGGAGCTGCACCAAGTTGCTCTCTGCGGTTTCTGGAGGTGGAGGCAACCTAAGCCCAAAGCGTGGCAAGAGTGGAGTTGTGCGTACCGTTTCAAATTCTTCCTTGCTGTTGATGGCGGCAGCTACAGGAGACGGCCGAAGATTGATGAAGGTGCCGTCAAGAGGAAAGCTAGCGAGGTCAGTCTCTGGGTCGTCCACCACCATGCGACGGACCGCATCTGGGTCTTCAATCAAGGGACTGAGTCTCGGAAATGGAGAAAGAGTAAGCCGTCGTCGACCAGCACGGAAGCAGCAAGCGACTGCAGCATGAACCACAAGCAATTTTGTGGACAGCTTCCCTAGCTACTACATGTAGTCAAGAAGTCCCCATGTTAAGCAACAACGCATGTCATTTTACACCGCCTGCAAAAAAGCAAGTAAAGGCAGCACTTTGAACACTGTGGTATGAATTCAGAGACGTTGCAAATCCATGCAAAGTATAAAGTAACAACAGAAATACGGCACTGTATTATACACAAGGATTTCATCAAGGAACTCTATATGCTTTCATAAACGCATCCTTTTAGATTTCGCAGTCAGACCTTGTCCATTTCCATGTGAACATTGTCTATTTCGTCCCCCCCTTCAAAGGCCCCATCTCTTCCTTTTAGCAAGCAACTTGACTATCATACATGTATTTCGCAGGAGCCATAGATTCAATCATTCAAAAGTCCTCCAGACGTTTACCAACTTTGAGTCTACCATCGTGTATCCTATCAGCCCAACATCTTCCTTAATTCCTCCATTTCAGCATCAGTCATCATCCTGAGCTTTGGGTTTGCAACGTGCTCAGCCACCTGGTCTCCCGCCCGGTCTTCCACAGGTTCACAAGGGCCTAAAATCTGCTTTGCACACTTCTCTTTAGCACTCAGGGTCATCTTGGCCCTTTGGGGAGAAAGGCTCCATCTCTTCTTTCTAGCACTCAGGGTCATCCTGGCCTTTTGGGGAGCAACTTGTGTTGCAGTGTCGTTTTCCTTGTCACTGGCAACAGAACCAACAACATCGTGTGGTAACACACTTGTCTCGGTGTGGGTTTTGGTCGCTGTCTCCGATCCTGGATTGCCGCTTGGGTCTTCCTCAGATGTGGCATTCGGCTGATTGCCTCCATCGTTTGCAACCAACTTTTGAGCAGTGGCAATACCATCTCCAATAGGAAGCGCTGCGGTCGACGACACACTAGAATATGGCGCGGGAGCAGCTGTGGCAACATGTTCCTTGCGGGCAGTCATGGACTCCGAACCTGTTTGGTTGTTCCCAGATGATGGTTTGTCACTTACTAGCCGTTGCTGTTCATCATCGAGGCCGGCAGCATCCATCTCTGCGTGAATGTCCATTTTGCCTCCCTCTTCAGCAGCCGTCAAAGTTGGACCAAGTGGTGCATCCTTGAGAGCATTCACCAACGCATCCGTATCCATTTCGCCCTCCTCTTCAACAGCCGCAGGCAACGCATCCAACTCTGAGGCATCTTCTTCCTTTTGGGCAATAACCACGACAGGATGGTCACTGTCGTTTCGCAAAATGCTTGTTTGGGCCGGAGTCTTGATGGCGCGAGCAATTTGGTCGGCAAGTTCCGTGATACAATGATCTTTCTGGTTGAAGTGATCAAGCAAGTCTTTGGTGCCGTCCTTGGCTGGAAGAATCTTCTTGTTCTCTTCTTCTGTCAGTGAAGAATCCAGCTGCGATTGGAGACGTTCCCGATCGGCCCTTGAATCTTCCAGTTGGTCGCGCAAGGAGTCTCGTTCCTTCTTCAGTTCCTTGTAGTCTTGTAGCTGGAGTTTGAGATTGCTGTTCTCATCCATCAAGGCCCTCACATTTCCGATGCATTTGATCAACCCAGGAATGGGATTTCCTGGCTGTTGTTCACTCGACCACTGGGTCGCCTTGTTGTTGTCTGCTGTGTCTGGCATGATCTGTTTCTTCTTTGTTGGCATTGTTGTAGTATCTATCGCTGGTCAGAGAGTGCACGTAGATGTAGGTGAGAGAGAGCAGAGGAGTACACTTGATGTCGCAATGGCAAAAAGGTTGACAATGACAAATGTATGGACTTACTTGTTGGCTGGTCAAAGGTTTGGCAATGACAACAATGTGGAGGCTCGTCGTTGACGACAAAGACGAAAAACCAAAAAGACTTTTGAGCCTTTGTGCGACCTTTTGCTCCGAAATAATTCGAACCATACTAGCTAGCTAGCTAGTCTAGCTATTAATAGTCTAGTAATTACATAATATAAAATATGGGGGGGTTTAGAGTAGGGAAATTATCTACGGAAGATACATGTAGACTAGTAGTAGTCAGTCTAGCTAGTCCATCCATCAAGAAAAGATACTGCCGTCTGCATGCCAGTGAAGAAACGAGTGAGCAACCACAATAAACAACAAAGAGACGATGCTGCTTCCACAATCATAACATAATCAAGCTAGACTAGTCTAAGATGGGGGACGCAGTGACAACCACTCTGTTGCTGAGTGACTGGGAACGCTATGGGCTCTCGGAACGTGTGTGTTATCATTTTGATCTGACGGAAGCTCTGGCTTCTTCCTCCCAACAACAAGCACCACCCCATGGAGCTCCACCTTCTACTGGTAGTGATCCAGAAGGAGGCAATGCCAGTGTGGACAGCACTACCGGTACTCAGGATCGCCCCACCACCAGTCCACCTGCATCTAACCCCAATGATACACCCAATGATACCAGTGCTGCCGATGAAGCTGCCGTCGCCACATCGTTTCAAGAACAAGTCTGTGGTGTGGCGGGGATTCTGGAATGCGTGCCCTTTACCCCCCTCAATCGACTCACCAAACGACAAAAGCGAGCCCTGCGGAACGAAATTCGAGACTTTAATCTGGAGTGTCTTCGCATCAAGGATGACAAGAAAAAGAAAATTGCCTGTCATGAACCACGGCGATTGCCACTCCGTCTCAATCCAGCCTCCCGACTCTTTTTCGCCTATGAAAAGACACGCATCTGCTTTTGTCTCGATGCATCGCCCAGTCTCACATCCACCTTTGGAGGGAACATTATGGATGATACCACTGTTGTCTGTCCCATGGATCGAGTGGCATCCATGGCTCGCACATTCTTTACTTCACTGGTGGAACCCATTGAAGCACCCTCCATTCCCATTGCCAAAGTGTGGAGACCCGAAATTGCCGTTTCTGTCATTGCCGTATATCCACGCGGAATGGGTCTGCCCACCACCAGTTTGTTGGTACGAGATTACCGGGTCTATGACAAACAATCGGCAGAGACATTGGTACATCACTTGGAAGAATGGGCACTGCAAGAAGTGGAATCCGAAATTGCGAGACGACTGTCGCAAAAGCAAAATCCAGCATCCAACAGTAGTCTACTGGCAGGATACGATGCCTGGAGTATTCAATTGCATTCGTCATCCTTGCGGGATATTCTCGATGTGGGAGATGTCTCGCTCAGCATTCTCTCGTCGGCTGCCAAACCCTGCATTGTTGTGGCAACCGATGGGAGATCTGTCTCATGCGATGGTGTCATTGACATTTTGACGGATGCCAATCGATCCGATGTCCCGCTGGTGGTTCTGGATCTTTCCAGTCCACAGTCCCATTCACAGCATCATCACGCGGAGAATAATAACCAAGCAGCAGGAGAAGCTCCACAACGATCGTACTATGATCTGCTTAGTTTGATTCATTACGATCCAGGTGGACCCTCCACATTTCCTCTGCACTTGTCCGATGACACGGAGGCATTGCATGGGATTTGCCGGGCAACTGGCGGTTGTTTCTTTGATGCCGAATTGCTGCAACAGGCCGCTGTGACCAAAGCAGGACAAATAGAGGAATCGCCCTTTCACGCCGATCATTACTTTTCATTCAAGCGACGATCCGTCAAGCCCAATGCCGTGCAATGGTACCTCTTGTTCTCCCTCTCACCGCTCTCACCCACGTTTAGTTCCTCCTGGGGTAAGATTATACCACCAAGGTACTTGCGACAACGACCACAATCAAACAACAACAATTTCATCACGTCTCCGGACACCATCATGACAACCGAACGACGGCCCTGGGAAAACAATCATCGACAATCACCTACTAGCGATATTCGACGAGTCGATGTAGTGCAACAACAACGCAGCAATAAGGCACTCTCTCGGACCACGTTTTCCACATACATTGTCTCACCCATCCGCATCAAAGGGCTCGTCATGATGAGAGTCAAGGAAGGCTATCGAGCCAAACAGTACGGACAGAGTACACAAGATACTGACAAGGTGGGGATACAATTCAATCTACCTCTGGAGTTGGGGACTGTCTTGCACTATGAGCTATCGTACAAGGCGTTGCCCAATCAAAGTCACATGGTGGGTGTGGCCCATATCAAGATTGAACTCTCGGGTGAGCCAGGGTTTATCCAGTCAGTCAAGAACGATTTCCTACGACAGACACATGTCGGTGGACGACCCGTCGTGACCATGGCGCAACAGATTTCGGCGCGACTGTGCAAAATTTTATTGTGGATTCGGCGGGAAGATTGCTTGCAGTCGTATCTGTGTCCGCTGGTGTGGTCCGATCAGCTTGCGAGTCCCGAAACACCGTTTGTCCGGCGCTTGAGAACGTTGACTGGGTTGCAGCGACGAAAGCACTTTCGATTCGATCAATTCGATGTCGTTTGCACCGGCCGCATGCCATATGCTCTTGATGATGGGTTCCTCAGCGAATTTCTGGGGTCAGATAACGGAGAACAGGAGCTGATTGATTTCATGGAAGAATGGTCGGCACAGACAATCAAACCGGGATGTCGATACATTAAGCAGACGGATGGTTCTGGCAGCAAAGCTCTGGCCAATTATTGTGTTGTCGAACTGTCACAATCACAGGCTGCTTCACGGGTGTTTACAATTTCATGTGAATTCTTTGGGAGCACTGGGGCTCCGGATCGGCTGGAGCTGATAGCTGGCTTGAAGGATGAATTGTCCAATTTACGGGATGTTGAAGTGTTATCCAAGCAAATGGCGGACTACCTCGTAGGAGTAAGGAAGCAACAAGACTGGGACCCGCATCTTCGCTGGAAACGAAGCTTGCTTGAAGATCAGCATCATCACGCTTCGTGGGATCTTGTGAAAGACCCAGAGCTTCTCCCGCTCCTTATGAAGCGAAGAACTGAAATTGGCATGTTCATCTTGCTGGATTCTAGGGATGATTATGCACTCTTTGCCAAGTTGGTGCCAAGCTACAAGCAAACTGGTGAAGAGGATTTGATCCAATACCAGATTGCAATCCTGGCAGGTAAGTCGAGGAATTGTGTGTCGCAACTTTCGCAACAGAACATGATAGCAGCATGCCGCTCAAAATTGTGTTTTCCCTATATTCCCAGATTGTGTAGTGATTGAAATTTACATGGAGAGTACATGTGGTGACTTCGTTCCATTCCGTACAACGGTGGAGAGGCAAGACCAGCCAATGACTCAGTTTCACAAGTTTGTCAAAACGCTGAAACGTCGCGATCAGGTAAGTGAAGGAAACTGAGTGTTCCAGTACCACCATGGTGGCATGGCGTTCACACATTGTTTCCTGCATCTTCCAGGAGTGCGGGCGGGCGCTGAGATGCAGAACGGTTCTACTAAAAGCATTCGAAAGTGATGATGGTGGCTACAACGATGAAGAAGCCGAAGTTTCTTGTGTTCAGCGGCTGCTTCCGTACGCAAACAAAGTGACCAGAAGACTGCGTTTCTTCCATCCAGGGACAGGCTGCGCCAACGACGCATTGCAGAGTCTTTCGGGTGGCCTCCTACTAACTAACATGTTCGGAGTGCAAGCAGCACCGCTTCCAATTAATCCCAAGGAAAACCTGGGTGGTCTTGGCAGCGGTTCCTGGTTCATCATTCGTTTCGATCGACACACCATGAGCATCGTCCATCAATCCCGTATTGACCAGCAAGAGATTGGCACGGAAGAGCAAGGGTGTTATACGTACAGAGAACTCACCTACTTCACAATCGGGATCAGGTAAGAGGGCAAGATTATCTCACCTTACGCTGCTACTCCCCTGCCATTTCTCATTCCTTCCTTTTCTAATAGTGATCTATATTCGATGCGCGAGGACATTGCTGACGACGATTCAACAAACTCCCATATCAGCGAGTACCTGACCATGGTAGAATTCGCTGATCACTGGGATGCAGCACACACAAAAATATACGCTACAGCCGCATACGTAGCTTTGAGGCACGAATCAATTCCGGTGGAGAGTTTCCACACGGATGACTTGGACAGAGTCCTTGGAGTTTGTGATTTTGTGCAGGTCGCCTCTGTCCTGGTTGGCGGTGTACCCACTGGCACCTCTGACAGCGATGTAGTCAATGAAGGCGAGTCGAAACTGCAAGAGCTGATCTTTACAATTTTGGGTGAAGTAGGGGGTTATCAAGGCGGTGACTACACACTGTTTTACTACAAGAGAGGTGGTGAAGAAGTTTTGAAGCTCGACGAGCAAGAAACAGAGTCCTTGAGCACCTTTGATGAGTTGGATGCAATGGGCAATGTTGAGCTGGAAGAAGAGGACCCCGACAACGATCGTCTCACCAGATCGATTGATGACAATTCAGCAACCGTTGACTTTGCATCACGGTCAGACGATGGCTATGAACGTCAACCTGGAACTGGAGAAGACCATGCCCGAGGGCATGATACAAACGCACCATCAGATATCAAGGAACTACTCGCCCCGCCCGTTTTTGTACGCTTCACTTTGGATGGCAAGGCTGCAACTCTCAACGATCTCTCGTTGATTACGAAAAGTTCAAATCTTGAGGCGCATCTCTCCATCTTTCTGAAAGACGGGCAGAAATCGTCCAATAAAGTGGTTGAGCAACAATCTCAGCTTCCCGCTTTCCACGGCAAAGTTGCCTTGGAGCTGGTGGCTCTCATGAATGCGTATGTTGCAGAGCAGACGCTAGAGAGGCTGAGGCATTTCGGGCAAGAGCTGAGAGAAGATGACCTAAAGGTTGTGAAGAGTTGCCTCCTTGGGGCTCGTAACGTGATCAGGTCCAGAATCGAAGTATTTTTCTACTCAACCAAGATTGATGCGATGGTACCCGCACTAGCCCCCGCGGGACGCGAAGCAGCAATAGAGGAAGGTTTCAAGCTATTGAAAAAAGAACTCCTCAAGAATGATCTGATAACTCTCAGAGCTTTTGCAGGGGACGTATTTGTTGCTATTGATTCAAAGGGTGGAAACACGTTGGATTTTTGGTGTTTCATTTCTCTCAAGCGGACCCACATCAGTGTGAAGGTTCATCACTCTCAGGGAGCTGAGACAGCCTTTGAGGTCATGTCGAAAGTGCAAGAAATGATCTCGCGTTGTTGCCACCGTGTCAACCAGTTACGTTTACTGAATCAGCTACACCGGAGCAGAACTGCGAGCGAGCTGTTGATCCCCAAAGATACGATGGTAATCGAAGAACCAGAAGGTGACGCTGAGCAACTTTTTCGGTCTGGTGTCTTCAGGTGCCCTGTTGTGTTCCGCACGTCGTTTGATCTTTTTCATCGTTGTGCAACCAACCCAGCACAAGTTGCGCGAAAGCTGGAAAGCACAGTGCTTCATAGCTTTGCTGTGTCAAACAGGAGAAATGCTTTTGTATACAAAGACGAAACAGGTACAGGGCATTGGCCGTCCCGAGTCCTTGCTCATTCGCTATTGTGGACTCCTTTCAACTGATCGTGTGTTGCCTGCTTCCCATTTTATCTCAGGGGATGTGTTTTACATGATGCTGGAGCCCCGTGGTGGCGGTGTCGAACCAGATGGTCAAATAGATCTACTTGTGTATGGAATCCAAGAGCCTGGGCCGTCAATTACTTCGCAACTTGCTCAGCTTCTGCAGCGGAGACTTTTGCTGATAGCCGTGGATATGCTTAGCGCCGTGCTAACAAAGAACCCACATTTCCATTGGAAGAGGCAGGATCTTGACTTCATCCACTCATTTGAGGAGGATTGGAGAAGGTTAGACGAGACGCATGATAACAAACCAGAGGACCAATGTGTCGAGTACATCTTCCCTCGATATCCTACGGACCCAGGAATGATACTTCTCTACTTTCGTCAAAACCTTTGTGGGTCTACATTTTTCCACCGCCTACACAAGTCAGTCGGCGAAGTTAAGTACGACAAGAACGAGTTCGAGAGTGAAGAAGTCCAGTTCAACGAAAACGACTTCACCTTTTATTACAACAACAGCCCCAGCAAGCTTGATCCTGGCTTTCAGCCGTGGAGCACACTCACCGAGAAAGGGGCAGGTAAGTTGCTTTGACCATGGCAGGAGATTGGGCTGCAGTGCAGCAAATTGACATCACCTAATCTCACGCCTTCGCTCCATTCACAGGTTACATGCGTCAGGCCGGCTCAGGCATTGCCATCATCAAGGTTGCGCTGGTTGCCACGGGAAGTTTCCTGCCTGTCGAAGAAAAGATCCGCTTTGGAGTTCCCCTTGCAGAGTTGGGTAATAATGCCCCCCTGGAGACTATGAGAATGATAAGAGCAAAAGCAGGTGATGAAGATGAAACTCACTTTGAAGGCCAACCCGCAATTCGCATTCGAGTTGGAATTGCATCGACGGCACTGAAGCTAGCGGCACTGCATAGCTGGGTGCTCCTGACGTTAGACCAAGTGTATTCTGCTTGGTGTGTCGAGCGACACCTGGAACGGATGCAGCGAAATCTAATACCACGCCCCTTGGTGCAACTGGTTTCGTCGGATGCAGCATCAAAGGAGACGGATATCGAGAGCATTTACCCCGGACTGAGGGCTTTGATGTCTTTCATCGACTCAAACTTCGATCTTCCTCACCCTGCCTTGGAGAAGACAGTTAGTGAAGGCATGATACGAGCATCGTCGGTTGCTGCAGTGGCCATGAAATTCATGGAGAGTTTTGTATCTCTGGTAGAACAGGAGGTGGGTAAGAATACTCCAGCCTCGCAAAAACCTGCCATCTCGGACATCTTTGTTATTAGGCTATCTCGATCGGCGCAGCCTCAGGTGGTTCAACTGGACTACAATGCCAGGAAAAAGGACGTCGTGGCTCGTGCTTTGCAAAGGGATGGAAAAGGTGTTGCATTCCGTGACAAGCCAATTGATTGCCCCGAGTACATTTTGTTTTTCCTTGACCCAACAAAATATGCCGAAACAGGTAGAGCTCCAATGAGTCTTCCTTTGATGTTCAAAGAAGTGGTTGTAGACGACGGCAACAGCGACAAGAGTGCATCCATTTGTCACCTCGAAGCACTGAAAGGATCCAGCCCAGAGACGTTCTACCGTAACTTTGCATTCATCGTTTCTGTGAAAAGAAACCGTAGGCTCTTCCTTTCTTACAATTGGGCCCCGCAGGCGCTCAAAGCGTAAGTCATTGCTGCCGAATTTCACGTACTTGAAACGTCACCTTACCGACTTCCTGCTTGCATGTTAGGATTGCATCCACCATGCTTGAAAACGACCGTGCCCTACTGAAGAAAGCTTCGGTTTCAACGGATTCACTTCAGCAACGTGCACTGAGGTCCCTTGCACCACCTTCCGAAGGAATGGGAAAGAAGGTTTCGAATGAAGCTGACAATTACTCTGTTAAGTCAGAGCGCACGAGCACAACTTCTAGCTCTCACCCGAGTGAAAATCAAAGTGGTGGCCCTTCCACTGGAAATGGATCCTACAAACCACGGATTAGCCGTCCTACCTTCATAAGACGTCCAAAGCTGATTGGAAAATCCGTTGAAGGGGCCGCAATGCAAGCCGTTGCAGCCTCACGTGCCCGAGCCAGCAATAAGCAACGATTCCCCAGTCGGGGAGCAGCAGCCACAACTGCATCTAGTCAGCCACAAAGGCCGCCCGACGGAAGGGCGTCGGTGCAGTCGGCTACTGCGACAAGCCAACGGAAAGCTCAAACAAACCAAGCTGCTCTAGTCAACAGAACTCAGGCTTCAGCACAGTCTGATGAGTTTTTTGCGGCAGCAAGAAAACGGTTTGCTTTGCTCTTGGCTGGATCTTCGGCAACAATGCGAGTCTGGAGCTCCCAACATTGGCATTCCGTACAGAGATTGACCAAGCTTTGGTGGCCCTCAAGAGCGAATACGATGATTCCACGGTCGGTGGGTGAATTCATCCTCTCCCAAGTCCCCAGAACTTGGAGTGATGCCCGAGAGGTTCCACACGTCCCAACTACATTGTTGAATTCCTTTGCAATCTCCCTTGCTCAAACAATACGAATGTGGAACCCGGGGGTACTTCTTGTACCGGTTCCCTCACAGGATATGGGCAAATTGAATTCTGTGCTCCTAATGGGGGAAATGAAAGCAGTTAGCAGCTGTCGATGCCTGGTGATCTTTAAGTTCAGTGTGTCAAAATTTGGGGGGAAGGGACGCCAGAGGAATGTCCTACGTGGGCAAGGCTGGACAGTAACTCTGCCACGGCACCTGAAAGAGTCGCGAAACAATCGACTTCTTGTCAACGCTGCCATGGCGGAAAAGGACGGAGCCGGGATAGATCGGCAAAGTGTGGAGTTGCACGTAAGTGAGCTTGAAGGTGTTAGTTTCACTACGCTGTATGTTGTTGAATATGAGCTGACTTGGTTCCTCGCGATCGATCAAGTCTTCACTTGACCTGGATTGCTTGATTCTGGACTTCTTGGGGTTTAGCATTGAACGAGCAATGAGATCATTGGATAATCGCTTGTCAACTGGTGACATTATCCCATTGATCAAAACACTGATCAATCGGTATCCCTTGTCTAGGCAAAAAGAGTGAGTCTTTTTGGGATGAACGTTGCGTGACCATTCTGTGCTTGGCCCCCTAACAAATCATTCATGTGAATATACTGGTGATGTAGGATGCGAAGATTGAATTACAGAGTGTTTGAAGCCGACATAGTGTTGGCGTCCTACGAAAATCGCTTGATCAATTTCTACGATTCCTATGTGCATTACGAGTGGCTTCGTGCCCATGCGGCTGATCGAAGTCTTGTTCTTTGCGGGTCTGACGGACTATGCTTCAAGAAAGAAGTGATTTTGGCAAATGGAGTGCATTGTAAGTACCGTGCAGTATCGGCATGAGAATGCGGTCATCATGCGAGACCTCAGAAAAGAATTGTTTTAATCTCCCCCGCTTCCAGCTATTTGCTTTCTAACTTGCGACAAGACCGAGCCCGAGAAGATGCACCTGCTGATTGTGGCTCGGACTGAAGGAAAGGATCTCCACGAATACATCTTCGTTAGTGGCCCTCACTATGATTATGGGATGACGATGAGGGATACAATTGCTGGTGAAGCTGCAGGGATAGTGTATGCTGAATTGAGAGCAGCTGCTTGGGACCTTCGCAGCAACGAACTTTGGAAAAAGGTTGCAACACGAACAGGAGGAGAAGCGGTCTCTGAAGAAGATGTAGATGAGCTACTAGTCCTCGTCCCACCAATCCCCTTGCTCGAAAACCTAAGCCAGGTCGACCAAGAGCGAATTGCCATGGTGATGGGAAGTGGTCTCGATTTGTTGAATTGCTGCGCTGCCATGCAAAGTGAGCCTGCTTTCTCCCCGTCTCACTCTTTCACCTCGTCGGATTCAAGATCCAGGCTTTTCCTGTTTCACCTAAAAGGAGAGGATCTCTTCTTGATCTTCCGGCTGAGTCTACAAGGTGAGCTGATCGAGTTGTCATTGGCTTCAAGGGAGGACAACTTGGTGAAGAAGGGGCAACGCATCTTGGTGGCCCAGAAGGTGACAAACTATCTTTTGAACTTCCTCTGGTTGACCATCTAGAGCAATTCATAGGCTGCGGGCTGTCTGTCGAGGAGAGAAATAGGTCAGATATCTAAAAACATGTTTATTTTTAGTTTGGGCTGAAAAGCTTTTGTGGTGAACATACAGGGGATGAGGTACCTTTCTGATATCTAGCTGAAGCGTCTTTCGTTTGGGTTTTGACTGTCCAGTGTCCGTCTATGATAGTAGCTCGTAGTTTGATGAGGTTTTGAAATAGTTCACCTGACGTTCCATATTGTGGTTGTAGAAACATGAAAGCATAGTGTCTTCATCTTTCATCACTTGTTTGGGTGGACCAAAACATCAGAGGGAAAAGTACCTTGCATTCAACAGCCTATAGAATCTGATCACCCAAATGGTCTTCCATTGCTGTGACGATTGCCTCAAATTACCACCAGCACCGACAATGGAGGCTCTGTTGTGCATAGAGCGAGACACGCCGGAAAAAGCAAGACATGCCTGTTTTTGTATGTCACAATTGATCGATGGCGCCAAATGGCCGAACAATGCTTGCAACATCCCGACACTTCCAATGGACCCTGCTTTGATTATGGACTCGGCTCAACTCCACTCCACTCATAGGAAACAAAAGGAAAGTGTCAAGGGCCACGCAAGCATAGGATTGTACCAGGGCTCGGCTGATGTGCACATTTATGTGGGAATGCGTTCAATTCTCATGGAATTTGGCACTGCAGGCAGGACCCAAAATCTCTGACCAGAACAAACACCATGGGACCCAAACCTGTCAGAGAGACACGGTGTGGACACAGACAGCACAAACAGTCCATTGGGTTGCAAGCGACGCGACAGAGAAACAAGTTCTGCAATCATGTAACGGCTTGGCTCGACTCTCCTCGCAATGTCCTTTCTGTCCGTAGCTCCTCCACCCAGCCACAGTACATACATGTTCTCCAGGCCACAACCATACAGCGAGCAGCCACCACCCTCGTCGTCCTGCCATTCAAGCAGCCAGCTCTCGTCGCCCCTTGCAGCGTCGATCGAGATGACAACATCGCATGAGTTTCCTCCGACTTTTTTCCCGCAGGGTCACTTTTGTGGCGCCTGAGGACACTTTGCGGCTGCTTGAAGCTAGTCCCGTAGCGAGGGTGCGAGAGATTTAACGAAGCAAATCTGACGTCATGAAACAAAACCAGCTGAGTCGGAACAGTGGAATAGCATGGGACAGTATTTCTTGAACCCAGGGCTGTCATGAAGCAGTTTACAAAGCAGTCATCCGAAATGGCTCTCCCAGAGGACAAAATATCTTGTTTCCAGGGCTAGAATGCTAGGCCGTACAAAGTCCTTACAGCTCATAAAAACGTTCCGACAGCGTCCGCGGAAACAGAAATTGTACATAACTCTGCCCCTAACTGCACAGGGCGACCCCGTCCAACCAGACCCATCACTCCGCCACCATGCCAGCGGCTTTTTTTCAGCGAGCGTCTCCTGTTTCTTCAGTTTGCTCGCAACTTTCATATTGTCGATCCAGCCATTGTGGCCAATTACCGTAGAGTTACATCAACCGGTGACAGTCGACTCGAATAAATAAGACAACTCTCCTGTTGACGGCCGAGATCTGACTGCCTTCCCGCGGTCCATAGAAATTCAATCTGCACCTTCAATAACACTCTTGATTCGTACCGTACCAGTCGTTCGATCGATGCATGGTTCAAGTCCATCGTTGAAGGCTCAGCACTGACATCTCGCCTTCATCGAATTTCTATGGCAAACAGGAGAGAAATCCGAGCTAGTCGGCCAAGAGCGATGTTGGATCGTATCGTCGTCAATCAGGTTATCCTTAACCTTAGTAACTTCAACGGTTCTTTATTCACCAAGGATCTAAATCTTTTGAAAGAGAACCTGTTACTTAATGATACACACGACTGTTTTTCCGCAACTGACTTGCCGCTACTCTAATTTACACAGTAAACGCCGGCAAGACGATTTCTTGGCGGCGACGAGCGTCTCATCAGAAGACGTGTTCGCCACACTCATCAGTGGGAGCTCGGCAGGCATTTGCGTGCGCTATATCGCTTTTCGCTACCGAATGGCGAACCAACTGCCAAGCACTCACACTTCAAGCAACAGGGGCTTGAAGGTAGGTGGAGGTTCTTGACAACAGGTTGTACCAATCCAGCTCCATTGCTACTTAGCTAGACAGTGGCAATGAGCAACCAGTTTACTCTACAGCATCTAGCGCAGTTGCGCAACCAAAGACAGTATCAGCAACATGGGATCCCACCGCCTCTACCGGTAGGTCTAGGTGGTCTGATAAGTGGAAGCTCGGGTCCAAGCATGTTTCCGACTTCCACGGCATTGATGTCCTTTCAGTATGAACTCCAGCTGGCACAACAGCAACAAGCCATTCTTCAGCAACAGCAACAACCACAATTGGCACAGCAACAACAAACCAATTCCCAGCGGCAGCAGAATCAGCGTTGGGATGTTTTTGGCAATGCAGGCGGCCAACAAGATGCCGATCAACTTCTTGTTCATCAACATCAGCAGCAGCAGCGAAGGAACCACGAGCTCCGGTTGGAAATCGAGCGTCTCGAACAGGAGTCCCAACAGCAACAGCAACAGCAACTCGATATTCAGCGTAATCCACTACCGGTTTGCCCTCCCACAAACCCTATTGATCAGAGCAATGACAAATGCCAGCCTCCAAAGCAAGGCGAAAACCTCAACCAGCAACTCGGGGATGTTCCTGAAGAACAGCCACCTCCACATCTTCCTCAGCAGCCACCTGTTATTCTTGATGTCGAGCAGCCTTCTTTGTCACCTGCTCATCAAAACAAACCAGTCAAAAATGCAAGAAAGTCCAAAGAATTCTGTGAAATACCAGGGTGTTGGGAAAATCACACGGGGACGGATGCGAATGGGTGGCACCTTTGTTTTGATCACAGAATGCGACAGCCACAGCAGCCATCAATCAATAATGATGACGACAATGGCAATGGCAAGGACAGTGACAATGCTGAGCAAAGAAATATTGCGAAAAAACGGAAAAGATCGTTTCGTGCCAAGAAGATATTGGATGCTGGTGGGGTTCTTCGGATTAAAAAACAAATGAAGAGTGGGGACGAGCTATTCCGTCAGTGTCAGAAATTCAGTAACTTACAGGACGCAAAGTCAGGCGCTGCAAGACAATCCAATCAACGCACAAGCAGAAGAACACAGAAGGCAGGTGCTTACGTACCTGGCAATGACCGCTTGAAGGATCATCCAGACCACAATTTTGACAAAATCCAGTACCACGATGATGACGTCCTGACAGCAATGATGGAATGGGAGGGTCGTGAGAAAATGCCTGGTAAAAGCAAGATTGATGTTTTGGGCGACGGGGAACATGGGATATTCTTGGAATCCAGTACTCCATATGCGAAGGACGGGTTTATTCATGACATTGGTGAGGCCAGCCGTGACATCGTTTTGAACTATCACGATGAGGAGGTGCGACAGAACTTGTTGCAGACCGCATTGATATCCAGTAGAAAATGCAAAGTTGGTGGCAATGACGACAAGGCACCAGCACTCTTTCGTGCAGCGGAAGTCCACTACAATCAACACAGCACTGACGAAATGCAGTTCATGAAGGTCCACAAGGATAAGATTGGCAGCATGGTGACAATCTACGTTCTTGAAGGAATTTCTTGGAATTTTGTCGTTCTGGGAGGGCAGAAGGGGGAGAGTGGTGACTTTGAAACGGATTTTGGGGACTATCATGATTATGTGGCCTGGAAGAATGAACTCAAAACTTTGAACGGTCCAGACTTCAAGCTGGTGGAAGAATATGAGGTGGAACTCAAGAGGTACAATGGGCCCATCATTGTCTACAAGTTGACCCCTGGGCAGCGACTTATCTTTGATGCCTTGGGATACAACCATGGTGTCATTGTCCCAGGCAGCTTCGTGGACAAGGAAGGGAAAATAACAGCCAACAAACGCTCTGTAATTGTATTCCATGACCTGCTTCCCCAATGGGATGGATTTAAAAAGGTCCATCGCCACATTGCCGCTCCCCAGACTGGTGGGACAGAAGAAGGCTCAGGCTCGGGCAGCAAGAGGGGAGGTAAGGCTGCACGCAACGTCAGGAGCAGTAGACGCCGAAAGTCGTAGAAGTGGGTTTAGTTATTAAAATAGTTTTGCATATGATATAGTAGCTCGTAGTTTGATCAGGTTTTGAAATAGTTCATGTCCCTGACCTTCCATTGTAGTTGTAGAAACATGAGAGCATATTGTTGGCTTCTGGGCTTTGATTCTGCATTTTTGCAGGACGTGCGTGAGTTGCAAGGACCCCCTTGATGGCCTCGCCTACCGGTATCCCAAGGTTGACCGTGCACTAGCAAAATTCTGTCTGCTACTTCTCGCCTCTTACAATGAAGGGCTCCGGTTGCCGACACGCCATGGACACAGGTTCTTCGTACGTGACAATAACATCCATCTGTACCGTACCAAATTGCTTTTGAGGGCGTCCATGCAAAGCATGCACCTGTAGTTATTGGTGGCTGGTTAACGCTGTGACGATCCCACTACCTTACCAGTAGGCTTGGACGGCACGGCAACAGGTGACACCAACATGTGACCTCGGAAGATGTGCTCGCAAAGATCAAGGTTGCCGAACAGTGCATGGGTGCGTCGGGGCCGTAGCCCGGCAAAGGGGGTTGCCGGCCGTGCCGTGGAAACAACAGGTTTTTCACGTTCTGTTCTTATCCTCCACCCTAATGGACGCGAAAGTCACCCGTGACTGCTTGGACGAAAGAACTGAGAGATTTACCATGGCCATGCATGAAGCAGACCATGGCGGCGACAGGAAGAACAACGGCAAGAGAATCGTCACCATCACTGTCAACAACGATGAGTTCCATGAAAGCTTCCCAAAGGCGGAGGATACTGGCCCAACATGAAGCGGCGCTATCACGCCTTCTCATCGTCATTGTAATAGTAGTGCTGGTTACATCTTCTGTGGTGGACTCTGCTCTGGTGGGAGACGAACAGTTTGGTCGTGTCGCTGGAGGAGCCTTTTGGGTGTTTACCAGCCACGGCATCTCGATTGTGAATCCGGATACCTGTCATGTGGATCATACGTTTACACATGACAATGCCCACGAAGCCTTGCCCAAGCGATGGAGTAGTGGAGTCTATATGGTTCGCCAAAGTCCGAATGAGTTTGAAGACGACGACATTCCCCTCACAGATACTCCCGAATTACTACCCAAACAAGATGCCTACATTCTCATCAATAGTGGAGAAACCAAAACCATTGAAGATGGCAATACGGATACTCCCACTTATGAAGCAGAAGTCATTGTCTTGGATACTACTACTGCCAGCAAAACGCCAGTACTGCAGAGAATCACTGTGGGAGGAGCATTGGGAAATGCTTATGCGGTGCACAATAGAAATCAGGTAGGTCAACTATCAAATTCACAAACTAGAAAACTAGCATACAGAAGTGAAGAGAAATGGCTAAATACCCACCTACCTACTGTACCTATCCAAGCCCTTTCTTTCTCGCTCACTTTTATGCGCCCTCTGTTTGCTTTTTCTGCTTCCTTCCGTATGCTTGATGACTTTGCATATCTGAAATCAGGTACGTCAAATTCAATTGATATCAACGCATGGAAATCAAAGCAGCCCGAAAGCAAAAGACAGCAGAGAAGGAAATGCTATCCATCTATAGCCAGCTACGGTCGGTCCATCTCACCTGTTTCCTTTTCTGATGCTTCCCTTCTGTCTTTTGTATTTTCTGCGCAGTTCTGGACCCACTCCTCTGCCGATGGATTCTTTTACGTGTTGGATTTGAACACTGAAATCAAAGAAAACGAAGGACATCCCGTCAAGGCCAAAATCACCACGGCCAAAGACAAGGGGCATTTGATGTGGGAAATGGGCATTGGTGATGAGACCGTCTCTCTCAAAGATAGTCCACAGATTGCATACGCCACTTCCGCGGCCGTCGCACAATTGTTCATTTTGGATTTACAAGTCCACAAACAAGTGGCCGTGTACGATTTTTCCAAAGATGTCAATCAAGGCACGTGTCTCGGGGCCGCGTCCATGGCATTTTCCAAAACCAATCAACATTTATATATTCAGTGTGTCGGGGGACCCGGTGGGACGCTCGAGATCGATGTGTCTCATCCGGCATCACCAGTGCTCGTTCAGCAACATCATCACGTCGGTGGAGCCCTCGTCGAAACACCCGATCAAGTCTATGTGACTGCCACCGACAAGGGGGCCGATCGCATGACGTTTTTTCTGCCCACACAAACGGGAGATCCTTCCACCACGGAATTCACCATTACCGTCAAGGGACATCCCGAAGCTCCCGTCTTTTACGAATCGCCCCAAACACTCGATTACATTGCCTGCATGCCACTCACCGACAATCTCAATCGAGCCCATCGAACGGATGGAGAACCAACGCAAACAGAAGATGGAGTGTTGAATGGTACTACTCCACCCCAAAGTCCAGTTATCTGCGATTATCACAATGGTTGCGACAATGCCCAAACTCCCTTTGATACCAAACACGGCGTCTGTGACTATCAACCTGCCAATCCCACGCTCTTGTTGGTCGCCACGGCGGACGATTTGGAAAAGGTACAGGCACACGAGGAACCCTTTGGACAAGCCTGTGGCATGTGCGAATTGCCACAAGATTATTGGAATCCAAAGGGAGAATGCGTCTGTACACCCCAATGTGGAGCTTGTGCCAACGATCATTATCCCATTCGACAAGATGATCCGTTGCTGGCAACCACCGGTGTCATGTGCGTCGATGTCAAGGACGCCATGCTGGACGTGCTGCATCATTCCGATCTTATTGAAGGAGCCGGGGCCATTGTACAACCCAAAGCATCCGAAAATCCCAATTTAAAATTTATTCATGGACCGGGCGTCTCGACACCGGAATGTGCTCTGGATGAACCCATTCGACCGCATAAACGTGGTTCCAATATCTACGATGCTTCCATTTCCACAATTCCATCGCGTGAATTGATCATTGTCGATATGCGAGTGGAATCGTTGAAATGCCGCGTGGAATTGCCAGGCACGCCACAACAAGTCATCTACGTCCCCACCAGTCATCATTACAAACAGAGCGATGGCGGTGGCAGTCTGAGTCCTGGCATGATTGCCTTGATTGTCATTGTTACTGTATTCGTCTTGGTGGCATTGTCGGCCATTCCAGGATCACGGTTTGCCAAGAGGAACGTGGACAACCATAATAATAATGCTGTCGTCATGGATGACAGCGACGACAAGGAAGGGCTTCCAACAGGCAACGGTGGCATTGAAATGATGACCAATGGAAATAATAGTGGAAGTCCCTACATTGATCCTGCGGTTGCAGAATCCAAACACGAAGAGTCCGATCCAAGTCATGAATACGAATACGGTGACAAGACGTTTGTCATTGATGATGATGCGCCGGATCCCATGCCGCCTTTGTCCACGCGATCTGAACCTTCCGCAGGGCCTGGAGGAGATCCAACGACCAGTGTCCATAGTGGTCAAATGACGTGATCCCATTCTAAGAGGCATTTAGAGATGCCAAAGTGATTGTTGGCCATCTGTTTCATCAGTGGCAATAGCTACACAAGGGTATACAGATTTTGTGGTTACAATAAGGGTGCATGATTAGTAGTGTTTTTAGTTTTGCTAGATCCAATACAGTAGTGTGCATTTGGTAGCCCATTGCAGGAAATCTGGATTGGTTACTTGTTGTAGAGTTGACAATTCTCTTCTTGGTAGTTGGCCAGTTTCCACCTCTCAAACTACCAGGTACTCTGGTTCTGGCAGATCATTGATGCTATCTCCTCTCAAGCGACGTCCATCAGGAGCAAAAGTTGGAGTGGATGCCTCTCTTTCAACTTCCTGCAAGCTATAATTCCAAACTGGGGCTGTTGTATACTCAGCATACCAAGGTAGTGCAGTTGGTTCTGCTGTTGGACTGAATGTGGGTGCAATAGTAGGACATGCATCATCTGGTACACAAGTGTAGTTGGAACCCCTTGGATCTGCGACCCACCGACTGGCCTTACCCTGGGATACACATTGATATTCATATCCAAAGAGCAGCTTCTTGTACAAAAGAACATGCGGTTCCTCCTGATTATCGCAAAAGCAAGTGCAGGGAGATGGGCAGTCGCCGTCGCAACATCCACAGCGATCCCCTTCTTCTCCCAGTACACCACCCGCCAGAGTCGGAAGGCATCGAGTGATGTTGCGTTTGAAGATTAGCCAGGATGATTGTTCTCGGCACATGTAGGTCCCCTTAAAAAGACCACCTCGATTGAAAAGTCCTCCAGCCATACATTCGAAGGTTTCTTCGGGCTCGCAACTAATTCCAATTTTGCCCGAGAGTTGAGCATGAACTGCTGCAATGGCCAGTGCCAGCAAAGCGAGAAGAGGTCGTCGCGAAGGGATCATTGTATCTGCTGTGCATATATCGAAAGTTCCTCAAGAACTCACAAATGGGAGCTTTGGTAAGGCGCTCAAAGTTGGAAAAACAGGTTTCGTCAGGAACGAGTGTTGGTGCTGCTGTGGAGCCGTTGGATCTTCCCAACGATCAATGCAGCTCCATGGGACTTGCGGACGCGCAGGATGTGCTTTCTATTGTGACTGACACTCGAAACCCGCGGCTAGCAAACCTACCAAAACTCCAAACCGACGCGAGTATCCGTTCCACAGCGCACCGTGCACCGTGCAGCAAATGGGCATGAGTTACCGGTAAGAGAGGAGAGCGCACCGTCTTGTCCTTGGATGCACTGGACAACGCACCTCACAGGCACGGCCAGGGACCGGGTTACAATTCGATACCACTGCTGCAAGTGACCTTCATGAAGCTTGGCTGTGCGCCATTTTTCGACACGGCAGTATAAATAAATCATGTCTTGGACCTAGATCCAAAATGACGGTGCATCGTAGACAAATGCCAAGACTTTACATAGCGTTTCGTCCTAATCCACGATGTCGTCTTCGATTGCAAGGAGAGGCGTCGTGCTCACGATCCCTCCTGCGGAAGCCATTGAAAACATGCGTACTTATGAAAGAGAAACTGCTCTCAACGTCAGAAAGAACATCCCGAAGAGGTACATAAATGAAGTCAATGATACCATGGGCAAGTGGAAGAGGCAGAAGTTGCGTTCGACGAGCAATTGCGGCAGCTACGAGGAACCAGACGCGATCATTGATGCCGCCATGCATCCGTACCGAGAGATTCCTTCGACTGAGCTATCCGAACTTGAATGATGTGTATACTTCAACAGATTTCGGGTGACTGTCGTACCTGGTCGTTCTGATCCCATTTCGAGAATCACACTGAGCTGCTGGATTTCATCAGTATGTTTCAATCGTTTCATTTGGAATGCATCAAATCTATAATGCTTGCCACGAAGCCAGAAAGACTTCTTTGGGGGTTGCGGCTATACTTTCACGACAATATACACAGACGCAATGATAATAGAAGCATCCACGACATCTCTACTTGGAGGCGATGATCGCGGTCCAAGGACCATTGGTTGACCATGGTAGCGGCACCAGAAGAAGCGACTCTGGAGAAAGCGACATTCAATTCAGTCAATGTGGGTTACTAGCGGGAAGAAATTCGAGACCGGATATGTGAAGCGAAAGAAGGCTTCCGAGGGCAAAGAGACTCCAGCTCACCTGTGTGGTACGACAGCGTCAAAGCCTTCCTGAATGTTGGCATGACAAAAAGCTTCAGAATGCTGGATACATTGAAACGAACCATCAGCACCTACAAGGTGGTGATGCAAACCATGATACGGTTGAATTCTTGCGCCCCAAAGTAGGCGCCTTTTAATCTCCTTTGCCAACGCATCAGTTGTGTGTGAGTGAGTGAGAGTGAGTGTGAAAATACCAAGCAAGCTTCCAGTTCATTTGCATTTCAAGTTATCTGACATCGCCCATCGCCCAGTTCTGATATTTCTCCAACAAGGGGCTTGTGGTGGATGACGTAGCTTCTTGGCCTTCCTTCCCTGTGGCGTGTGAAGTAGACTTTGCTCAAATTTCTTCATAGCATTGAGGGCTCTCGACCTTGTTTTCTTTGGATGAGAGTGCGATCCTACTGAACACAGGAATACCGTAGTGTATGTACATCTTGCAATCCACAAACATTTCGTTGATGATGACGCAACAAAGGTGAACTACCCTCGAGGTTGTGCAAACTATTGGAATGACTCTCAAATACTTTCGGATAGATGCCAACACAAGACATGATGGACGCAACAACTGAAACACAGAAGCTAGCTAGCAGACATACAAATAGTCGACAAAAATTTCTCTCCGTGAAACAAACTAGCAGCTAGTTCAATGCCTCTCTGAAGTATTCCTGCCATGCACATTCCTGTCACTCCGGAAGTCGCCAATGCGGAGAGTTAGGACCCGCTGTGTGATGATAGCTCTACTGATCGGCGTGGTCGTCTAGGCTCTCAGCTGGAGCTAGATCTTGGCTGCCTTTGCACGCTGGTTCTCTAGCAAACTGCAGTCCACCTTTCTACCGGTCTAGAGACAACGCTACCGTTATGTGCATTCGTATATATCAGGTTATCTCTGCGAAACTGACTTCCAAAATTATGCAACATCTATTGGCGGCATCAGGATGCATCGGCTCTTGGCTCTCTCCCTCGCACTTCTTTTCATCGGAGCAATGCTTTGTGGCGCTGATTGTTCATTCCTCATCGCGCCCGTCCGTGTGAATTGTGTCTAAACGAATAACGATCGAAGGTTTCACTTGCTCTTGATCTACTGTTCAGGTTGCTGCACTTGCTCTTAAAGATTCACGTATCTCTTGCAAACTGCTGTTCAGGAGCTGCGAAGGACGCGTTCGGTAAGCAACCCCGTACAATAGGCAATAGCTCCACCAAATCCAGCCACAATGAGGTTTTCAAGCGCCGCCGAGAAGCAATTGCCCTTGGACGCCCACGTCTTGACGGCCCCCACAATGAGTAGCGCCGTACTCGTGGCGACTGCCGCAACAATCAGGCCCGAGGTTGGGTCAATGCCATCAATCGTAAAGGGGAGAACGGAAGGGATTGCTCCCGCGATGAATAAAAAGAAGGAAACAAAGCCAGCCTTGACTGAAAGTTGTAGGGAGAAAGTAATAAGTGAGCGCCGTGCTACTATCATGACGTGATGATCAGTAGACAAAATTTACCTGGAGATCTTTGTTCATCCTCCAAGAAGCCCAATTCGAGAACAACCATAAGCTGGAGGAGCGCATCACGATCCTTGGCGTAGTGCTTAACGAGTTGCTTTTGCAGGGATCGATCCATGTCAGTGATTCCAATCAATTCGAGCAGCGGAGCCACTTCCCGGAGTTCTTCCCGTGGGTACTTTTGAATGTGCTTTTCTTCCATCTTGATTTCTCCGTCAATCACTTCGTTTTGACTCTTGGTGGCGACGTATTCACCGGCACACATGGAGACGGCGCCCGCCACAGCTCCAGCAATGGCAGTGAGGAGAATGTCAAGGGTGCTCAATCCGCCACCAGCTACACCGGCAACGAGTAGGAAAGTGGATACCAACCCATCATTGACACCCAAAATGATATCTCGCCAGTACTGACGGGAGTCTCCCAGGTGTTCGGCCATGGCAGGATCATCCGGGTCGGCTTCTTCAGCCAGGAGAAGGCTAATGTCGTGGGATCCGAAAGTCTGAACCATGAGACATTCACTATGGCTGTCGGATCCATCGCTTTCATTCTCGGTCTTGTTGTCATCTTCGGAAGTTTTCTTCTTAGTGTTGGGGTGCTCCACGTCGGGTGTCGTGGCTTCTTCGACCCCTGAGGCACTGTCCACGCCGGACTGTTTGTCGCTCCTGCTTTTGTGGTTGCTTTTGTTTTTCTTGCTATTACTGCTCTTATTGCTTGCCTTACTCTCGATGCTGCTACTGCTGCTGGCGGCACTCTTTTCATCCATATCCGACGCCAAAGTGTGACACAAAATATTGGAAACGACACTCCTCGAGCTAAGAATGGTGCTAGTAGAACTCGCAGGTTTGGTGTCATCCGACAATTCGACTTCAATAGTACCGGTGAGTTGCATCTGTAGCTTTTCCTTTTCCCGCATAGTTTCCTGATGCTTGCGTTGTTCTTGTCGAAACTTGGTCTCCATGTCAATGTAGTCTTCCAACAGCCTCTGCAGTTTCGTAGTGCTGGTGCTAGCATTGTCGGTACTGGCATCTTCTGTTGCACTATAAATAGTATCTAGTCTTACCCCTAGCTTTTCCAGCGGATAGCGGTAACTAGTCGTCGTCAAGTTGCTCAAGTTGCTGAGACTGCGAACTTGTGGCGTCGATCTCTTGAGTGCTTGCTTTTCCAAGTCGACTTCATCATCGTCTTCGTCTTCGTGAGAGCTGGATTCGCTGTGGCTGGAGGAGGTGGAAACGTCCGAGGAAAGAGAGGAGGTCGACGCATTGACCGGTTGATCATCATCGCGGGAATCGTCTACCAAAGCAGCCTTTTGGCTCCTTTGGAGCGGATCTGGTGCGGGGTCCTTGTTTGCCAGGTCCTTGGAACTGGGTGGCTTGGAATCGACGGCTTTCTCAGCACTGAACGGGTTGACAAAGGCGGCAGAGAACATGGCAAGCAGCAGAAACAGTTAAAGAATTTCCACCATTACTCAATCAACAAAAACAAAGAAGCCAGAATGACACCCTCGAATGAATAATTGTTCAAAGATGACAGTCAATCACAACGCTCGCCAAGAACTTTGGCATCTGACGTTGAACCTCGATCTGTTCCGCAGGAGTAAGTAAGTTTGTGAACGCGATTACTTCGCGCTGTTCGGTCACGTACCCATGCATCAAGGATCATTCAACGGCGAGAGAAGTTTTGTTGTTTGTGGAACGGACTTCGCCATCCGAGAGGTGCTCGATGCCGATTAGGCCATCGAATGCGCCAATATCATAATGCTGGCGGCAAAGCAACGAGTGACAGTCTCATCAGCACTGTGCTGTGGCTATATTTGGCATTCTGTAGGTTACAGTATCACCATTGCTCCGGTGCGATGGAAGAAAGGAATGAGCCCATGGACTTCAAAGAGACGAGCATCATCAGAGGAGAGGCTGCAAGCTGCAAGAGAGACGAGCCGATTTGAGGCTTCAAATCGCCAACCACGGAGTTGGCTGGTTTAGAATTTTGTTGTGGTCGTCCCTTTCTTTGGTCTTTTTTGTAGAGTTAGGGTTAGTGGAGATTGCCTTGGGTAACGTGGGGTTAGGTACGGTACGTAGATTAGACAATTACCAGTACGCGGTACCGGCCAGATGTAACCAAACTCCACTCCTCAATATAAACCGGGGTTTAGGAGATTAGACCATTACGTGGTACGGTCGGCCAGATGTAACCAACTCCACTCCTCAATAATGTAAAGGGGTGTTTTGGTAGATTAGACCATTACGCGGTACCGGCCAGATGTAACCAAACTCCACTCCTCAATATAAACGGGGGTTTAGGTAGATTAGACCATTACGCGGTACCGGTCGGCCAGATGTAACCAAACTCCACTCCTCAATATAAATGGGGTTTCGGTAGATTAGACAATTACGCGGTACCGGCCAGATGTAACCAAACTCCATCCTCAATATAAACGGGGTTTAGGTAGATTAGACATTACGGGTACCGGCCAGATGTAACCAAACAATCCACTCCTCAATAAAAAACGGAGGTTTAGACAGATTAGACCATTACGTGGAACCGGCCAGATGAACCAAACTCCACTCCTCAATAAAACGGGGGTTAGGTAGATTAGACATTACGGTACCGGCCAGATGTAACCAACCCCACTCCTCAATAATAAACGGTGTTTTTGGTAGATTATTCCATTATTCAGTAGCTATCTAAAGCAACTATACATTCTGGGAGTCCATGGCAGTAAGTATTAGCTATTTGCCTATCAAGTGACAGCTCTTTTTGCTGTTTCTATTTCCGTGGTTGGCGCCACCGGAGGCATCTTGTTAGGAGAGGATTCTTCTGCTTTGCTTAGACGCACACTTGCCGAAACTTTAGCGCTCGGGTTGTGGCGACAGAAAAGTTAGGTGAAAGGGACGCACTCGAAAAGGTAGACCTACGTACAGTAAAAAGGTGTTCAAAGTTGTCGTCGAGGACTCGAGAATGAAGGGCAGCACCTTGGCAATACAGAAAAGGAAAATTTGCCTCTGCACGGATCTTCCACCCCGGGACGACTTTAGCAAAGAACTAACCTCAAGTGCGGGGAAAGATTCGCGATTTTAGTCCACTCTACGCCGTGCAGTTGCTTCAATTGGAAATTTTCGTGCAGGACCTGGCACTACCCATTCGAGTCGCGATAGCTAGATTTCTGTGGTGGGACACAAAGTCCAGTTGTTGCAGGTCAGCTGCCAAGCTGGGGAATCAGTCAGTACGAGGAATACGGCATCACGTTCTTAGCCACACGAGGACAAATAAATGAAGGGCTTGAAGGCTAGCATGCAGTCCGAGCCATCAAGCCATTGATCGTGCAGGAAGATTTCTAGTAGCGCTTTTGTCCTGTATTGTGCAGATGACAGGGCGATCGAGGACGCTTGAGAAACAATTGCAGGGATATACATGCTCCGCCGTCCCATCTTGATGGATATGTTGCTTTCTAGGGCTTCAGCCAGGTACACGTGTGAAACATACTGGGTTCTGGGTTTACAATGAGCTAGACATAGCTATCATGACATAAGCTATAAAGGGGGTTTACGCTACGTGGTTTTGATATCATGGTGGATGTGTTCCAGCTCGACCACGTCCGCCTGCTTTTGCTGCGGCGGTTTTATCAGGTCAGTGGCCACGTTGGGTCCTCCATCTTGCGCAGCGTTGATCGTCGGGTCAGCTTGTCGCTCGCACTCTTTCTTCTCCCGCTAGCTAGCTATGCCAGGCGGTGATTTCACTTCCAGCGCAGCCGACCAGGTCTTTGGGGGGCACAAAGCCAACCAAGGGCAGTTTTCTTTGCACCCATCGTCGGCGTGAGATGCTGTTTCCATGCTTCGTTGTCAACCCAGCCTCGTCGTTCATGTTGCTCATTGCTCGATCTGGTCGAGCCCATCTCACAATCGAGAGAGCATGACAGCAAGACGGATTCCAACGTTAGTTGCATCTGCAACTCAAAAAGATCTGCGGGACCTGCGCATGACCCTCTTGTCCGAGCACTCCCCTTGACTTTGATTCCAATTCTCTTTGTTGAGATTGAGATCACAGTGCTGGAGACTGTACCATACCAGAAAGAGCGCATCCTCCGAAATATTGCGCTTTGGCTCTGTTGTTAACGTCCTTCCTCCCAAGAAACTGGCTGCGGACATCTTCCACCTTACACGGCATCACGTTCCGTACAATAGCTAGACCCAGTCAACAGTTCCTGACCTTGACATGTCCTGGAACACTCCCCCATGGGGAGGACCTGGTGGTTATCCAGGGGGACCTGGTGGTTACCAGTATCCTGGTTATCATGGTGGTTATGGCATGCCACCACCCTACCAGTACAATCAACAACAGCCAGTGCCTCCTGGCACGGGCTACGGAGGTGATGGGCACGGTCTACCTTTAGCTCCGCCTAGCCCATGGAAAGATTGGAATTCCTTGTGGGCCACCGCCACCTCCTCTTCCTAACAATGGAATTGGGCACCACCCCAGGCCAATGATCCAGCATGGACAGCAGCGCACGCATCATGCTGGTTATCATTCTGTTCCTGCAGGCCATCACAGCAATCCTGCCGGAACACCGCCAGCTCTGCCTCCTCCTTGTCGTGCTCCTCCTCCTCCTCGTCATGCTCAGGCTACAGCTACATTTCCAACTGGCCATGCAACAACACACAACCAGGGAGGTGCTCAAGGCCAGCAACAGGAGAGCGGTTTCACACTACAAAACGGAAATCGAAACGATTTGGCAACTATAGTCAGGGAAGCAATGCAGGCAAATCTGGAGGTAGTGCAGAAGGTAGTACAGGAGAATACTCGTCTTGTGCAACTACTCTGTCCGCAGCAACCTATGGCAACACAAGCGGCAGCCACACAGAATCAGCCGATTCCTCAGCTACAAGAAGCCCCGAACCACCGCTTAATTCAAGACGCACGTGCCCCACCGCAGCATACGGATACTCCTGGGGACTTGCCTGCCAGCCACCCCACTCGCCCCTCACCGATGCAGCAAGTGCAACAAGGCCAGCCACAGCAGACATCAGCCACAGCAGACATCCCACATCTCACGTGGGAGCAATGGTATGAACAATTGATACAATTCAAGCAGACACATGGACATTGCTGCCCTCAATTCGAACATGGCAATAAGCTCTACTTCTGGGCTTGTGGGCAAAGAACTCAAGCAAAACATCCTCGTTATGATGACAACAAACGTGTCAAGCTAGATGCCATCGGGTTTATTTGGGATCTGAGAGAACACAACAAATGGAAGAAATACATCCAAAGGCTGAAACAGCACATCAAAGCAAACGATGGAAGATTCAGTCTGCCACCAAGGGACAAAGAACTCCATATTTGGTTCCGTGCACAAATTGAAGAAAAAAGCATGGGTTTGCAGAACCATGCCATTATATCACCAACATGGCTTCGTGAGCTGCGGGTCTTGTTGAACTTGGGTGTCTTTGGCGACAATCAATACCAAGATCTCCTTGAACCAGCCAAGAAATTGCTAGAGGACTTCTCTGAAGATCTCAACAGAGAAACTAGTGAAGAAGAACACAATGCCAGCGTCGAGGAGGAGCCTCCAGTTGGCGAAGCCAAAGGGGTGGCTACTGGCGTGAGGCAACTCCTGGTACCTGCAGCCATTGCTGCCTCAACGGGACCTGCGAATTCCAGTGTTACAGTGAATGCCAAATCTCCCAAGGGCAAGCAACACGGCGATAGCGATGATGCTGTCATTCTGATTGATGACAGCGACGACGATGCGCCACCTTCAGCTGCTGCCCCTGTGAATCCCAATGTGACGGCCAACGCCAACAAAGCACCCCCAAATGAAGAGACCCTGGCACAAGGTGAGGACACGATTAGTGATGAGAACGATGATAATGTTCCAATCCAACCTCGCACGGTGGTGGAACCTCTCACCGAAGCTGAGGTGGAACACGAAGAAATGACGCAAATCACCATGGAAACAAACCTCAACAGCAATGAGGAAGACAAGGCAGAACAACCACAACAACAAGACATTGAGAGGGGAGCTGTCAATACTACAACTGTCATTGTTGTTCCAGCAGCACAACAAGACGCTGGGACCGCCCCTGCTCCAGCTCGGGTCCCCCCTCAGCCTCCTACTGAGCCAACTGCGGAGCTCCCTCCTCAGCCCCATGTGGAACCGCCAACCAATCCTCCTATTGCTGCCATCCAGGAACACAACAGTGAGCCGGCTGTGAATCATCTTATTGCTGCAATCAGGAAGAGTCACTCTGCCAACTTTAATGCTGGAGAATCCAACAAGACCAAAATTGATCCTCCGGTAACACTAACATGGGCTAGCACGCAAAAAAGGAAATTGAAGGAGATTGATCCCCCAGAAGTGGCAGGAATGGCTTCCACAACCACTGCTGTGGCACCCCCACCCCATTTTTTAATCTCAGCAAGAGGTGTGGACAAGGACTCACAAGCTCCTGATGCCAACAGCAACACAAACGAGCTTCAAGCAGCATTAGATCATTCATTGGCCAAGTTACCGGCCATTGAGGATCAGCAGGACTGGGGCAGCAAGAAGAAAGCAGCCAAGCTTGAAATTGCCAAGGAAGGATTCCCAGAATCACTGGCCATTGCATCCAGAAAGGAAGCTGTCATGTCAGATGCTGAAAAATGGCAGGAATTCTCTCATTCCAGTCGCTCTATAGTAGCAAGAGCTGCGGGAGCAGTCAGCAAAATGACTACACCTTCTTCACCTTGGAATGGGGCCCACTGCTTTTCCAGCAGCAACAACAACAATACCGCTACAGTAGGGGCCAGAGCAGCAGCAACTGTCCCAGCTCCTGCCACTGCAACAGGGGCCAGAGCAGCAGCAACTGTCCCAGCTCCTGCCACTGCAACCGATGGGGATCTTTCAGAAGAGTTGCTTTTCACCATCTGGGAGTATTTGAGCATTCTGGATCTTCCTCAGATGAAATGTGTGTGTTGTTCTTGGCGCCAAGTTTTGAAAAAGCGGGATTTGAGGTTGCTGTTGGTGACCTGCTCTGGTGCCAATGAGTTGGTGCTGCTGTCAACATGCACATCCTCAAGATACAGTTTCAATAGGATAGTGCAACGGGTTTCCGTCTCCCCCAAAGGCACAAAAAAACACCAAACACGACAATCACCAACCAATTCTGCCCCATGGCCTACCTGTTTGGCATTGGGGCCGAAGAACATGCTATTTGTGAGTCACTACCAAGTGCAAGGAGTTCGTGCATTCAGTTCTGGTTTTTCTCAAGGCTACGAGTACCAAAAGGTTCTTGCCAGCCATCCAAAGAAGTTGGAATGCCCTGAAGGATTGGTAGTTGGGCACAATTGCGTCTACATTGCTTCAGTGACGGCTGGCCACATTGTCCGACTTTCCCTGTCGAATGGAGCTTTGAAGGAGATGGCAGGACCAATGGATGGACCCTGTACTGTCCACAATTGGACTCTCTGGGGAATGACCCTTAGCCCATGCAAATCGTTCTTACTCATCGCAGGGCATCTCTCTGACGGAGGTGAGAATGTGGATGTTCGACAACCAACCCCAACCAACAATGGTGCCATTCTACGCTTGGATCTTGAAGATGATGGATCCTTCCGGAAGAATTCACAGGGGGAAATGGGCTACTATCCTATGTCTTCAATGGCCTCCCTTCAACTCAACAGGCCCAGTCATCTACAATTCTGTCAGCACGGATTTCTACATGTTGCAACATACTGTTTGTCTGCTGTTGGTGGAAGGAGGATCCAAAAATGCAAAGTGGAGGCATACCACGATCAGAATCCCAACGAGCCATTCCTGCACCATGTGGGGTGGCTACAAGAAGCCGACAACATTGCTGCTGCTTGGGGGATTTCCTTTTCCCAAATGAATGATGGGGTCTTCATCACATCATCAACATGTGGTCGTGTTTATGAATTAAAAAGTTGTGGTTGTTCCAAGGTTGTTGAAAAGCATCACCAAGTGGTGGCAAAGTACGAGGAGTCGCAGCCACAAGCCATTTCCTGTGGAGAATTGACAGTGCTGGTGGATGGCACTGTGTTTGATCAGCCCGCAAATGTTCTTGCTTTGGATTAGCGGTCATGGTATGGCACCGTACCTCTTGGTTTCACTGTATTTTTCGGGTTTCATTGCGTTAATTAGTTAAAATGTGTCCACGTTTATTTATAATTAGTCTACGTTTTCAAACCATTCGGCCAACGTAATGGTCCTCACTTTCTTGCTCCTGATCCTGAATTTCAACTGTTCTTTGCTTAAGCCTGGCCCCTCCATAGATAATTACTCTACTCTAAACCCCCGTTGTTCTAGTCTACGTTTTCAATTTATATTGTTGCATGTTCATTTATTTTGTTTGGTTGATCAGTAGCATGTTTAGGTACTACATGTATCTCTGTCTGCCCCCACCTTGGTTTGGCTTTGATTGGTCCTCTTTCCCTGGTCCTGAGACTCGACTCCACAACAATCCCAAAGGTTCGACAAATCGATGAACACTTTCATGCATCCCAGTTGGAAGCGAGGACCGTGGTGACGCAGTGATTATCTCGTTCTGACTCTTTTCACTTTGGTCTCCTGGGACAAGCCGGATGATTACGTTGTTCTCTTCGAGCTCGCGTTTTCGATTCGATTTGTCGAGAGATTCAAGGATAGCTACATCGTATGGTGTTGTGGCCAATCTTCATTCTCGTGGTTGCAACCTCGAAGAACAAAGCTGGAAGATCTCGCCTTATTAATTTCGTGGCTCGTCTCGTTGCAGTGTTGGGTCTTTCTCCAAGGACTAGTCTAGAGATTTCGAAAACCCTCGTAAAATTGTTTGACAATTTTCACAGCAGTGGAGCCTTGCTTGATCATCGTTTACCAGCTAGTTTGACGTGGAATGGCTGCATTTGTAGTACCAACAATGACCAGCAGGCGGGTCCAAAGATTGCTTGAAAGTCTCCAACAGCATGGGGCCTCCAGAGATGCTCGAGACAACATATTTCGCCTCACTGGTTGGACCATGCACTTATCTTAGACAAACTACCAGGCCTGACATTGCTATGGCTGTCTTGGAGATTGCCCATTCAAAACACAATCACAACAAGTGCCGTGCTGTAGTGAAAGCCATCCTGGTCTCCTTGAAAGAGACCACCAATGTTGCGAGATTCTTGCAACGACATTGTAAGCCATTGCCAGCAACATCAGTGTATGATACCAACTTTTACTTGGCAATGACAGGTACCAGTACAGGTGCCAGCCAATGGGTATCAATACTTCTTCCTTGAGTTTTCAACAGTGCATGGCATGCAATCTTGGTGACCTGCATGAAGCAAGTTGCTTTGTGGATGACATTGTTGTATTTCGCAATTCCTTTCAAGTTCATTCCAGGTTCTTGGGTGACCTTGGCCGTCTGTTCCATGCAAATTTGATGCTTCAAATCAGGGCCAAGGAGGCAGAAGAAGGTGAGGGACAAGTTGAAGAAACAATTATAACAATGGCGACAGTTGATGGTAAGACTCTTGCTCCAGTGTCACCGCCGCACTGTTCCATCCCCTCTCATCCTTGCCATTGATTGCCTGGTTTCTCTTCCACTTGTTAAACCTGTTCCTTTCTGTATCAGGACTGGGTCATTTGGCAGCAGGAGCCAACACTCGGGCAATTCAGGGTGCTTCTCCCAGTGCTGCTGAGGCTGTTGTGGAGGGAGTGGGAGCCATAGGGGGGTTCTCAGGCAGGGATTGGTTTCTTCCAAGTGATGAGAGGAACAACTTCGATTTTGACGAGTTGCCTTCTCTTCACCAGTCCACTATTGCTGTCTAAGTGGATCAAGCTGCCCTCCAACTAGATGACAAAGATGCCAACGGGCAACAACTAGTAGACAGCACGACCTCCACCAGTGGGGAGTTGAGATTGGCCAATACCAAACTCAACGGAGGAAGTCAGAGTGTGCAAGCTCCAAAACCGGCAATGTGAAAACCATGACGGAGCCAAGATCAAAGTCTTGCGGGGATGGGTGTCCTCAAGCCAGAATCACGACCAACAGATCGCGAAAAGCAGTTTCGTGTGGAAGAGCGGACTGTGGGCACGAGAGAGAAGCTGTCAAGAACGATTCCACACCTGTGCCCCTCCTACCTGTGGACGGAACATTGCCTAGAAGACCTCGGCACTGGGGGAGTGACAAAACAGAGGCCATGAACAAGATCATGGATTTCCTTAGGAGGCTCATTGTCAAATGGTGGAAGTCTCACTTGTGAAGAGGTTTGGTGGACTTGTATGGAACAAGCACAAGCTCCCTTTCCACAGAGACAGGGGACACTATTTTCACGATTTCGCCCACACCACCACACCCTCCTAGGTTCACATCTGCATGGAGGAGCTGAAGGAAGCCAAGTACAAGGCTCATCATGTCACCACGACCGCCATGACGAACTTCATCATGAAGAACCGGGTTGATCTTTCCAAAGTGGTGTTGCTTGAGAAATCGCTTGTGGAATCTAGCAAAGGAACCAAGCAAGTCGAGAAGGACGTCGGTACCCTTTCCGCTGAGCTAAAGACCTGGAAGCAGGTATGTGGCAACCGACTTGCTGCGCTCGAGAAGAAGAAGTAGGAGGTTGGCAAGGTCGTCTTGGATTCTACACCCGGTGATGTAGTTGCCAAGTGACCGGAGCCTGAACCTCCCCCTTCGGCCCGCCACCGGTCTGTCAATGTTGATGTCGGGTTGACGGGCCCTTTAGCGGCTTCAGTTCCTCAAGTGACAAAGCTTTCTGCTGGTTTGTCATCTGGTTTTCACGAACGCGTCAAGGTCAAGGCCGACAGCAAGTCCTTACTGGGCACTGTCGTTGGGTCCACAAGACCGACTCTGACCCCGGTTCCAGTATGGCTTCTCTTGGATCAGGGAAACCCGTATTGGCTTATGGCTGTTGACGGCTGTTCCTCGATTCGAGTAGATCGTGTGGTGCTAAAAAGGTTCCCCAAATCAGACTTGATTTGGACCGACCTGTCTGAGGCCGAGCCAGAGGTGGTTGAAAATGTTGCCGAACTGTTCCAGGGTCCGGTTGTTTCTCCTGTCATGGTGTTGACGAACTTGCGGTTGACTCTTGGTCAGATGACGCTGATTCAGTATCGGGGTGTCAAGCGTGTATGGTCTACTCAATGGCCTCCAGGGCTGTCTTCCGATTGGAAGATGGATAGCAACCACCTGAGTCATGACGTGTGTGTGGTGGAGTCACTGCCACCTCGTGCCAGCTATTTTGTTCAGGGAGTGGTGTAGCCCCTAGGATTCGGCCAATTGTGTTGGAGCCCAACAAGATGGTACTCTTGTCGTATGGAGCACCTTGTGATGATCGCGCTCCAATCCCCAAGGTCCTCTCGTTCTGAGTGCCGGTGGTGCTTCCTTCCTGTGGCTGAAGATGCTGTGGGTTCAGTGCACCTGCCTATCACGGCCGCGGTCCGCTGCCCAGTCGACCCACCATCTCTACGTCCATTCTTACTCCTTCACGTTTCATGGATATCGGATCGAATCGACTTTGGCTTGATCTGCTGGATCAAGGAAGCAAGTGCTCAGGGACCCCACAGGGATCAGAGGAGAATGCGTCGTGGGTTTGCTGGGGCAACAAATAATCAGGGTGCTGTTGCACCACAATGCTCCCGCAGCCTAACCACCAAGAAGCCTAAATCGTAGACAATTTAACTTTTTAAGATTCATGAATAGTTTTCCAGATTCGATTCTTCTACTAGCTAGTGTGATTACTGTTGTTGCTACAGTATGTATTTTAAAATAATACTTCTAGAGGTTGTTTCGGAATCAAATTGTCATGGCGAACCATGCACCAGCCACGTTTTTAGCTGTGGTCAATGCTGTTGCCTTTTTTCCCGTTTTCTTCGAGCCAGTAAAAAGGTAGGTAGGTAGGTAGGACACCCATTCGTCGATAGCGTGTGCGGCATGGCAAACCAGCAAGAAGGTGCATGAATCACGTTGAATCAATCGAAGCCACCATGGCAGACGGTCTGCCACCGGTTTGCGTTGCTCCTCCCGAAAGTTTGTTGTATGACATTATTTGTAGTATGACATTGGCCTCTCAGAACTGTCTCGTTCGGTTGTTGTTGTTTATTTCACGTTCATGTCAACCGAATGGAGTCACAGAAGGATCGACTCGATACGATGACTGATGGTTTGCCCTTGGCACGGTCGACGACGACGACGTTTCATTTTGTTGTTGCTGTAGCGCAGTGGTAGATTTATATTCGTATCCGCCCAATAAAATAGAACTTCCGTCTCGATATCCAACCCCTTTCTTGTCAAAGACTTGCATCGTCATGTAGTTATTGTCGTCCTCTTCCTCCTTTTCTTCTTCTTCTTGAAACCGCCATCCGACATCGAGGTATTCGACATCTTCTTGCGCCGCCTTGAGCAAATTGCCCCACAATTCCTCTCGTTCGCGTCGTTTGGCCAACTCGTTGGAGACGACCGTCAAGACGAGCGCTGCGATCAGTGTCGTGAGGAGACATGCCAATCCCCACCATTGGCGGGATGTGGCCGTCAACGATAGTGGTTGGTAGTAGATGACTTGATCGTCGTCATCGCTGGAAGTGGTGGGTGCCGGAGTAGTGGGTTGTGGTGGCACAGTGTCGTCATCTTTTGGTGGTGGCGGCCGGTATTGTTCTTGCAAATCAAAATCTTCGTGTCCCGGAATCGCAACTCCTCCAATGGGAAATCCATCGGCTTGCAGGGACCATTCAATGTAGGAAATTTGTCGTGCCTCAAAGTTGTCTTGGTCGTGATAATTGTTGGTGTCGTAGTAGGGCCCCAGTGGTCCTTGAAGTAGAATGTCAGCATAAATAATACCTTGCAATTCCACTTGCAGCCATGCCATGAGTGGTGCATCGTCGACGGGTTGGATATTGTTGTTGTTGGACGAAGTAGCAATCGAGGATAGCTGTCGATTGGGTCGTTCTTCTTCTTCGTGTACAGCCAGGTAGACAATGTGATAATACCAGGCAAAGGGTGTATTGTTGGCATGCCCAACCAAATGACCTTGTCGAGAGGAAACAGCCGCCAGGTGAAGTGTCTCGGCATCTTGTAGTAGAGCAGTCGCATTTGTATTTGTGTTGTTATTGTCGATGAATGGCAGAGTATTGTTGTCTGGTTGTGTGTTTGAGTTTGCCTTTGAGTTTGAGTTTGGTGGCTGAATAATATCAATGATAAAGTGTCTTCCATCCGAGTATTCTTTACTGAGAAATGCCAGAGTGACATTGGTGGTATTGAGATATTCTTCCACGACCATGGTCAAACGTCTTGGGATTCCATTGCCGAATTTCTGGTAATCAATGGCCACGCTAATGTTGATTGGTATCACGTGGGGTGGAATTACGAGTTCCCCACCGTCTTCTTCTCCTTCTTCTTCTTGTTCTGGCGGTGGAGGAGGAGGACTGCCTTGATTCTTGCCGTCTTCTTGACTTTGCTGTGTTGTTGGCATTATTAAATCATAATAGTCTCCTCGACACGGCAAATCGAATGCTTCATCCGGGACGGACTCGAAACTGAAGAGATGACGATGACGATGACGAGTGTGATTATTATTGTTGTTGTTGTTGGTTCCATGTTCTTGCCAGAACGATTCGCAATCCACTTGACTCTTGTCGGGATGATATCGCTCTGCTCCATCCTCAGACAGTCTTCGTCTGGTTATGTGTCGTTCTTCTGATGATGACGACACCAGAGAGCACGACATTATGATCACAACAACAGCGGAGGCTACTGCCAGTCTCAGCAACAACATCCACCAACCACTTCGTCTCATCTTGATCGTCTTGTGCATGGGAGGAAACGATTCCATCCTATGCATTCAGTCACTCATTTAGTTTACAGGACGACGGCCTTCCAACCTCACTACTATACATGTAGTACTTTGCTGGAACAGAACCGGTGTTGGACACGCTATGCTGTGTGTGTGACGGTGACGGGTCTTTTTGGGCTCATTCGTTTCGCGTGTTTGAAGCAGTCACAGTGAATAGCATTAATAATGCATTCCTGCAGTTTTAGCTGGCTAGTACGGCACAATACCTTGGCTAGTTGGCTTCAAGCTAGCTAGCTAGTCTCTTCACACACCTCACTACTTAGAAAATAAATGGCCCTTCGCTCCATTCCAAGCGCTGGGACCGTACTAGTATTCGAGCGCGGCTTTGGACAATTTTCTCGGATGAAAAAAGTGTCATCGGTGTCATGACAAAGCCAGGACCGTCATCACATCACATCACATACCGTACCGTCCATCGGCCATTGTTGTCATAGCATGATCAGCACCCATCCTGAATTCGGGGCTCCAGCCATCAGCGAACAAGCATGCAGTGCAGGACCCCGAGGAGTACGTACTCCTATCGTCTTTGTTCGCACAATTCTCATCATCTGTTTCCACTAGTAGCTAGTCTACATATCCAGCACTCCCCACGGCACTGTAATCCCGTTGCAAAAACCGGAACCCTTCCGTCTCCTGAAGCAAGATCCACCACACTCTGCCGGGAACAATTTTTAAAATTGGTGCTGTCCGCGGCCCCCGTTGTCAAGCAACCTTCTCCAAGTATCCAAGTACTGGCTGCTCGCTCTTTCAGAAACTCGCGTAGCAGGCGATTTCCAGAGTTCCTACAAATAATAGGCATAGCCGCCGCGTCCCAGCAGCACCAACATCCTTGTCCTGCATAATCCAGTCACTCTTTGCTGCTAAAATCGTACGGTACTTTCTCTGCTCCATAGGTCCATTCATTGCTTGTTTGCTTTAGTCTTTGCTTTCCTTCGTTGGATGTTTGCTTGCTTGCTTTGCTAACGGTGCAACTAACTCGAATTAGTGAATGAATAAATGAGGGGCATCATCACTCGTCAATAATACCGGTATATCGGGAGGACCGATACGGTAGATGATGCAAAGGCAGTCCGTATCCGGCCGTGCATAGCTAGCTAGTCCAGCACATGTATGGCTCCGATCGTGCGTCCCATAATAGCATTAATAATGCAATAATGTCCCTGACTTATTAGTCCGTTAATAGCCAGTCCGCAATGTAATGGAACGTCTCGATCTTCTTCTTCAACTCGAATCGAATCGAGATTTTCTCACTTCGAAAGGCAACTGGTACCATCTTTATGCCGCCTTCAATGAGACGCTGGTTGCCGTACATACATCATGACAACAACACTCCTCTCCTTTCCTACGCCGTGATCCGTGTATCCGCTTCGAGTCAACAGATGCGTCATTAGGAGCGTTTAATAAAATTGGCAAGGCATGTATTCGACTCGCTTGGATCTACATGGATCTTCCAGGTTCAATGGGAGACCACTCGAGTATCAAGGCGGACATGCCATGACATTAATACCTCGAGTATTACGCCCATGCCGGAGTCGATTCGATTCAGCCACATTGGCTTCCTTGGAAACAGCCTCCGACAATCAACCACCGTCGTACCTTTTGCCGACGATCGTTTCAGTTTGAAATAAAACGGCAAAATCAAATGACGCCTCCATTTTGATTTATTTTTGATGTTGACACCTTTTTCGAGTTTGATGTTGCCAAATATGTAACGAAAACGACGAAGCAAGCTTTTTCTTTCAGCGACAGCAACAACAGCAACAATTTATTCCCTTGGAAGACAAAGACGTATACGGTATGCATGACGATGACAATGATGGTATTGAGAGTCCCACGTTCACGTATCTCGAGATGTGCATCTACGGATGGACCCTCGGCAGACCGCTGTGTGGTTGAACGGATCCAGAGTCATCTTGCGGTGGTTCCTTTGTGGGTTGGTTCGTACTCATGCAAGGTAAGCCCATTCGTTCCTGTCTTTTGTGACATTGCTTTTTCACGGTCATCGACCGTTGTCGCCTCATCTCCTTTGGTTCCCAACATAGGTCGCCTCAGTACATCATGATGACGATGGTGGTGGCCGTTCGTGATTCCGTGGTTCCTTTGTGGGTTGGCATGGTTCGTCCTCGGCATGGCATGGTTCGTCCTCGATCGTTGACAATGCCCGTTCGTGTTCAAGTGGCAGTCTCAGCAACAGTCAACACAGGTACGGTCCGCCAGCGAATCGAATGGAATCAGCATGCATGCATGACATTAGTAGTTCTTTGCTCTTCGGAGTCAACATAGCGTCGTTGGAAGTGGGGGGTGGCAGACACTCTCAGAAGACTGTTGTTCCCCACTTCGCTGAACCAAAGTGACATGCATGCATGCCGTCTTGCTTTGCTTCTTATTTTGCTTTGCTACCGTATCAGCTCAAGTCTAACCTATTTCTTGTTCCATTCTGCTTTTCTTTTTAGGCAACTACACAAGGTGGATCAACGGTTGCTTCGTCCAAGTCTTGTTTCTCGTCTTGTTGGTTCTTGGTCGGGCTCATGGTTGCCTTCATTGCAAGCAAGCTCATTTTCTCACAAATTCTTCGGCAAGCCGTTTGTCCCCCATCACCATCCTTCTTGGTCTTCTTCTTCGACTTCTACCTTCATGCATGGCAATGACAATGATGATTCCCTTGCTACGCTACACTACGCTGCCCAACCTACTGCTGTTGGTGGTTCCTGCTGCTGTTGGTGGTTCCTGTGGTTTGTTGGTCCCTGTGGCGGTGCCTGTGGTGGTTCCTGCTGCTGTTGGTGGTTCCTGTGGTTTGGTGTTGTCGCCTAGTGCTCCATTGACTAGTGCTCTATGGCCCTTGGATTTGATCGAAAGTCTCTTAGGAGGTTCCAATTCCGACATGATGATCCAAGAGTTCTACAACCTTGTCCCTGTTGGTGGTCCCTGTGGTGGTCCCTGCTGCTGCTTGCTGATGTTGGTGGTCCCTGTGGTGACCCTTCGATCTGGCTGGCTGGTCGTGTTCGTCGAGCTCAAGTTCACTCTTAGTTAGATAGCTTAAGTCTCACACTTCTTCTCTCTCTTGACTTGTGGAAGCCAGGTTGCGGAGATCTTCTTTGTCTTTTGGGCTGGTCGTCTCAGTCAAGACTTGTGTCCATGTCAGAGGAATCAAGGTCGGTGCATCAACTCAAGTCGGGCTCAGTTCTTTTGGTGTCTGCTTCGTCCTTTGGGTCAGCTTCCGCCTTCCGCTTCCAGATCGACGGGGGTTGGGTGTCCTTTGCCAGGCACTGACACCAGACCGCCAGCGATTGCCGTCCTTGCATCATCAGATACCTTGAGCCGATGCCTTCTCACCGTCTTCTTCGTCATCGTTTGGTGCCCTCAGCCTGACTCGTCACCGTTTGCTTTGATCAGACAAAAAGCGGGTGGAGCCACTGCCGACGACAACGAGGCTCTTGCTCTTCCTCTTCCCGTTGGTCAGTCGGTTGGCTGGTTCCTTGTCTCCCCTTGGATCTGCCTGGCTGGTTGTGGCGTCGAGCTCATGTTCACTCTTAGAATAGCTTAAGTCTCACACATCTTCTCTCGCTTGACCTGCTGAAGCCAGAGTTCTTCTTTCTCAAGATTTGTGCAAGTGGGGATGACTGTCGCTGCTTCTGATCGAACCAAACCTACCACTGCACCTTGGATTCCTCCAATCCTTCCACACCCGTGGACAATCCAGAGTCAAGCACCGTTCTTGGAGACGGGCGCATCAGGCCTCCACAGAAGCCCATCCTTGCCAACTGTCCCAGTTGGCCTTGGCAACTTTCGAGCTACGTTCTCTACAATTCATCGACGACAGTGATGATGCCTTTTCGGTGCTCCGATTCCTTTGAGGGAGTGGTCCTGTGTTCAGTGAAGATGGGAAACCTGCAACCTGCCATATGAGAGAAACATGCAACTATGCTGCTGCCTATGGTGAGTTGGAAATCCTGAAATATGCCCATGAAAATGGCTGTCCATGGGATGGGGAAACCTGCAATGCAGCTGCAGAGAGTGACAATTTGGAGGTGCTGAAATATGCTGTGGAAATTGGCTGCCCTTGGAATAAAGATGAATTATTGAAGGCATTGAGGATGTGGCCTGATGAGCAGGTGAAAGCTTGGGTTCTGTCTTTGCAACAAATTGAATGATTCTCAATCTAATGGAATCAAATCCTCCGAACCTCCTCTCAAGAGCCAGAAGTACGGGCTATTATGAGCTTACTGTAGGGTAGTGGAGCATTAATTGTAGCTCTTTGTTGTTGTCGGCTTCTATAGTGGCAGCGCATCGCTTCGGTCGTTGTGTTGTTGATTGGCAAAATTCGCTCTTGTAGCTGCTGCAGTAGAGGATCAACGCTTTTCCTGTCGCTCCAATAAGGTTGTGCTCTTCTTTGTTGCTCAGAGGACAACTTTCGGTATGGCAGCTTCGTTGTAGCGCTGTCAACTTCCACAATGGACTTGGTGGTGACCGTTGTTCTTCCAATCGATCGAATGAATACTGCTGCTGTTGTAGCAGAAGTAGCGACTGTTGCTGTCACCGTGGCGCATTCTTGTTGTTGCAATTCGGTGGTGGCGGTGGCGTCTTGTTGTCTTGCAGAAGCTGCTCTGTCGATGGAGGATGCAACTCAACATGATAGACTGTTTGTAGTTGCTGCCGATCCTCTTTTTGCTGTAGTAGAGGTAGCATGTTGTTGTGTTGACGTTGCCGCTGCCATTGCCGTTGCCGCAGTGCATGGGAGCGGTAACGACGACGCATTGTTTGTTGTCTTTCCTCACAAATTCCATGTTCGGCGCCTTGCACTCTAAAGAGGCCTTCTTACACCTTTCAGTATCGTTGATCCATGATAGCTCCTCTTGCCTGTCGTCGAGGAAACTCCCTGAATTATCGGTCGGCGGTCGTCGATAACAAACAACGAAATGGCTGCCACCGACCGATGGTGTCGGGTGGTGGCAATGGACAATGAACAACCATCACCTGCAGATCAGCCCTAGCTGGCGTGACCCAGACGACCACTCAACACCAAACCAAGCTACTCTCCTCTGTGGCGTCATGGATGTTACCAAGTAGAGTTCCGGCTTCTTCCTAGTAGGAAAGAGGGGGCTGCATCAATTGCAACGATCTAGGAAAAAGGAAGCTTCATGGTTTCTTTTGCCGTGGTGGACTGGACTGGTAGGTTTGCCTTTGAAATTGTGAGAATTCGTCGAAGGATCCAGCCGAGCTAAACTTGGGGAAGGGGATTGGGCATGGCACTGAGCTCTGATTTGCCTCCGAGCTACCAGTACCATAGCTGGAAAACTCCATACTAGTAGCGCTTCGAGCTCAACTACATGTACCGGTAACTCCATGTGGGCCGTGCTTTGATTGCGGCATCATCAGCCACTCAAATCTCTTATGCATACCACCGCATCATTGTCAAGTCACGGTTCCCATAACTGTGATCGGCTGGCTTTCCATTGAAATTTGCACGACCGACGACGAAAGGCCTGCAACAGCAACCAGTAAACACACACACAAAATGATGAAACGATGCAAGGTTCAAGGTTCAAGAAAACTCGCTGGGCTGACTGAAGAATAACGTTAAATTGACCCAACTCCAACCTTACTACACTTGTTGTCATCCCCTGTGGTGTCTTGGAAAGGCCATCTCGGCCTTTTCCTATGGATGTTGCCTGGCTGCCTGCCTTTGGCTCTAGCTAGTAGGTTGCTCTTCCATCACATTTGGAGCTGGCTTCCTAGTATCAGCTTATGTTTCTCTTGCTGTCATCACATGTGGAGCCTTGGAAGCCAAAGTGGATCTTTCCACAACCTTGTAGCGGGGATGTACTAGTACAAGGATTCTGGCAAGTACTTCTTCCACTGTTGCCCGGCTGCAAGCTCCATAGGCAAGCTACCTGGTGCTTGAGTGCTTGAGTACTGTACTAGAGTAAGAGAGAGGTTGGCAGGTTGCTAAGCCCGTATGCGCGTAGTTGCTGTAAACTGTGATTGCGGTGTGATCAGATGCTTGCTGTGGCCTGCGGATACCGGTTCTCACTACATGTATGGCAGACATGCCGTCACCCTCACCAAATTCGCCGTCTCAATGTCTCGATTAAAAAGTTTTAGTGACATGGTTACTTAAAGATCTCAGAGCCTGCCATTCCAAGTTTCCAAATGGTAGTTAGGTAAATAAGTCCTTAACGGTAGTGTCGTTCTATGTACGGTAGATTGCAGTAGGACATGCTATGTATACCTAAATTTCATTCGCAAACGTCACCACCAAGTTTGTGTACCGATGAATAATGACTGCACCTTGAGCAGCTCATCTTTTCTGTGTTCCATCCATGACAAACGTTCGCTTCATTACAGCACAGCCATCGCGTTATTGGTAGACTATCCAGCCCGCTTGGATTCATTCATTCTTTCATTTCTTGTTGTTGTTGTGCGCTCGACAGACTCCCTGTCCATTGAAACAGAGTGCTTGCACCTATTCCACTACATCATTATTCTTGCAACCGTATCCATCGAAAGTGGTAGTCTTGTGAAATCTGCAAGCTAAGCTACGAGAAGACAAGATAATTCAAAATGAAATACCAACATGATCAACAACAGCAGCAAGCAGATGAGAAAGAGCATGCCAAGAACAATGATGACGCTTCCAGTGTTTCCTTTATTCCCGGTCAATTTCCGTACATGATGATGCTGTCCAATTTCCTTTTTGTGGTAGCATCAGTGCTCTACTTGTGGATGTCTGTCATTGATTATCGCTGGAGCGGAACCCTCAATACATTGCCCATGTATGTACGAGTGGCAGACGATGATATCACCTGGGTGAATTATCGAATTGAAGAACGGTACAATGCAAGTATGCAGGGAGGAGCCCGGCGATGGCTACAGCTGTTTGAAGAATACGGAGGATCCACCGTGGCACCCGTGGCAACCACACTAGCGCCCACCACCAATAATGCTACCGGTATGGTCGACGACGACAGGGATTTACCGTCGAATAATGACACGGAAGCAACTATTCTGGCTACCGTGAGCAACAGCATGGTCAGCACGGATGCTCCTTCTGTGGATGTGAATAGTGGTATGATGGCGGCTACCGAATTACCTACCACGGATTCGACCACAGCAGCCGACGGAACGACAAACACACCAAGTCCAACCTTTTATCCCACAGCAGCTCCCGTTTCTACCCCGGGGGCTCCCGAAATTACAAACACAACCATGGCACCCACCGTCCAAGCCACTGCTACGGAAACAACAATCTCCGCAACCACGATGAGTCCCACAGAAGCTCCCATTGCAACGACAGGCACCGAACCCAATCTAGATGCCACCAATCAACAACCTACGACACCAGCACCCGTCACACCAGCACCCGTAACCACACCAGCACCTGTCACTCCCGTCACTCCAGCACCCGTAACGTCGGCTCCTGCTCCCACTACTTCCGTACCCGCCCCAACCACGACAGCTCCCGCACCAACGACTTCCGTGCCCGTCGCACCCGCCGGACCCACACCAGAAGAATTGTATTACGACGAATGGTGGGCCGATTTACCACCCAATGTTCAAGCTGCCTACACAGTCTTGGGGTATAACGAAGAACTCTGGAATAACAGTGGGGAGGTCGCCTCGGATGACCTATATTGGCAAGAATTGACTGACGAACAACGTACGGCAGCCGAAGAAATTGGATATACCGAAGCCATTTGGAATGACGGAGCCACGTATCCTCCCGTGACGACAGTGCCCGCGACGACGACAGCCGGTGGAAATTCTACTACCAATGCTACCGACACCAATTCCACTCCATCCGACACAACTTCCAGTACAACCAATGACAATACCATTCCACCCGAACCGGTTCAAGCCGGATACTACGATGACTTTTATTGGCACGAATTGCCACCAGAAATTCAACAAGCGGCCGGAGTCCTGGGGTACGACCAGAAAATTTGGGATACCAGCGGATACGCCAGCTCGGAAGCTTTCTACTGGGACGAAATGTCACCCGAACAACAAGAGGCAGCGGCACTGTTAGGTAAGCAACGAAAGCAACCAAAAATAGTCTACTCGAACCGTGTTGAGGGTGCTGAATCGATTCAGTCATCACGGGGAACTTCCTTTCTCTTTCTCATTTACTCACGTCGAGCATTGCTCACACTTCTTCCTCCGCCACACTACTGTATATACAGGGTACGACCAATTTTCCTGGGACGGTGTCGATCCGGAAACCGGAGAAAGCATTGCCGAGGACGATTACATCTCCTACGATGACGATATTGTCTTTCAAGTCAAAGCGGCAAAACACGACGTCTCCAAATATCAAATACTCTACTTTTGTGCCGCATGGTGCTTTGTCTTTGTGGGAGCACTTGATCTGATACGGGAACGACATTACTTTCATCTGTTAATGATTGTTGCCGGATTGTGTGGTGTTGCCAGTGCCATGTTGGTCGAGACGCACTTGAAAGAATCCAACATTATGAATCTCCTATCGGTACACTTCTTCATGCTCGAAGGTTTCACATTGTTTGGCAATCACAAACGACAAGCCATTGAATTCGAAGATGCCGACCAAGGTGGTGGTGCCGGATCACGGAAATGTGTGGCGATTTCACTGAGTGTGGCAGATCTCTTGTTTGCATTTGGAGCCCTGATGGATGTCGTGGTAAGTCGAGTCAAGTTAGTCAGTACATCATGTTGGGACGCCATGTTTCATTCAACATGCTTGAGTGTCTCATTCACACCTGTATTTCTTTCTTTCTTCGTTGTGGATCGCTACAGCTGTCTTATTTCTATGTTTTCGACAATACAGCTGATTGGGATAGCTCGCTAGCGGTCACGGCCACTGTTGCTGGGTGCATGTGGCTTCTCTGTGCTCTAATTTACACTGTTGCCACCTTGGTGCATTATTATTTGTACTCGGAGGAAGTGGATGTCTCGGAAGAGATGGAAATCTATGATGACGTCGAAGAAGGAGCAAATGAATACGATGTTGTCAAAGTGGAAAACAGCGACGGAGAAATGGAAGAAGTGGGAACCCCGGACATGGATCATTCAACTGGTGGCAGCAGCTGTCACGACAGTGCATCACATATGCAACCGCAACTGGATTGGTCCGTGAACACAGACCGAACAAGGGCACGCGTCGGAGACGATGATGAAACAGTAGACAATCAAACAATTGGAGAGAATGAAGTCGAGGCATAGCGGGGAAGCTGCAGACCTTCGTGAAGAGTAGTGAAGGAAGGACCTTCGCGCCCTCATTGTGCAAGAATTCCATTGTTCCCCACCATTTCTTCCTTTTGGTTCTCTCATCCAAGTGAGAAGGATGACGCCGAGACCGAAAACGCTACAACAGTTCCGTTCTAAACTTCTAGTTGCATAAACGAAAACATAGATTTTATATGATTCCCTACCTCAGAAGAAGCAAAAGGAGCTTTTTTGTGTGAAGTTGAGAACTCAGAGACTCGCTTGTCCACATCTTCTTGCTCTGGTGCTGGAATCCATGGCGGGAAATCTGGGGCTGGACTTGACATTATTGCATGTTGTTGGGGGCCAACTGTTGTTGCAACTCTACCTGGTGGGCAACCCCGTCCACAACTTTGTCCAGCTCATCAACGGCTGGCTCCTTGGATTCTTGATTGTCCGCTTTTCCTTCATCCTCTGCTTTCAAAGGGGAGTCTTGCGCTTCTTGGCAAGAGAAGGATTTGGGGTTGCTGTCATTTTCTTGGTTTCCCGCTCGTTTGACCATTTGTCCTCATCTTCCGCTTCATCACCTGAAGAGGAGAGTACCACCACGCCAGGCTTCTCGGAAGAGGCTTTTTTGGCTTGAGATTCTGAGACATCTTCCTTTCGGGCATCCATCGCCTCCGAACCTGCCTGGTTGTCGTCCTGCTTGGCCTGATTGGAAACAAAGCAGTGTCAGAATTGATGATCTCAGGGGCAGTCATTTGTTGGAGTGGCTTCGAACGAACTCACCTGGAGATTTTCTCCCTCTGGAGCCTTGAACAACTCTGTGACGCGGTGCACCGAGGACTGGAGCTGAGCTCCTGCAAGCACAATGGACTGGAGTTGAGCTTCCGAAAACACGAGAGGTTCTCCGCTTTGCTGTTCTCACAAGCAACCTCCATGAGCGCGGATGCACGATAAATCGACATGACAAACCCGGCTTCAAGTGTCTCAGCGGAGGTGTGGTTGTTGGTAGGCGCAGACATGGTTAGACGGTTGGATCGAAGCTGAAACGTTTGATGATTCTGAGATTGTGCTTGCTGTTGGGGCGCGATGGTTGGAACAGATCGAAGCAGGAAAGCTTGATGATTTCTGAGATGCTGTTGCACTCCGTCTTTTGTGATGAGATTCCGGCCGAGAGTGCGCCAAAAGACAAATCGGAACCCCCCCCAAAACAGGAACAAAGAATCCGCGATAGACCAATCAAATCAGAGTACCGGCGCAAGTGACCCCCCACTCGAGAGACAGGACCGTGCCTGTAATAGCTCCTGGTAGCTAGCTCTGCTGGCTCATATCTTTCTCGTCCCTCTCAGTACCAGCTACGCAGCGTGCTAGCTAGCAATAGCAAGATGAGGAACGGCGACCATGAGGTTTCAACAGCACGACCGCACGACGGCGGCGACCCAAGCCCACATTCATCCCAGCCAAAACACAACTGGAGACCTGACAGAATGGCGTGTCGCTTGCCAAGAAGCCACAGGTGGCCTACAGTACAAATGGGCGTCGAAATATGATATGATCTGCAGTGATCACTGGCGGGGTGTGGAAACAAAACGGGTCTTCCAGCATACGGTAGCCTAGCAGTCAAGGTGCCACTAAAGCACCTTCCCACAATGAAGAATCGAATCATCAAACAGTGGATACACTATCATGGAGTTTGAAATACACGTGCAATCATCTGATGGATGGCTGCGACATGATCAGTCAAGGCATGCCCAACCAATCTTCCAAGCAAGGGTGCTACTGATATCTCATCAATGCCAATGAGGACGACTGTCAGTTTGCGTGGAATCGTACGATGCATTTTGGCCGCCGGCGAGTGTGCATCTGGCCAAGCTCGGTCCTCAGAATTTATTTGATCGGTTCTTGCGTCTCCTTCCTTAAAATTGGAGGTCATGCCATTGTTACCGTACAGTTCGTGTCGGTTACTACAGTTCGATTTGATTCGATTCAGCTGAAGGAGCCAAGCACAATCAACATCTCCTACGTTTATTTGGTGCAACAAGGAAACTTGGAAATGGCCATACCTTCAGTTCCGACTGTGGCAACATCAGTACACATCGAAACTCCACTCCCCCCTCAGCAGAACTTGCCAAGAACTTCCCCAATGCGGCTCCAGAGTTCAGCTTTTGATTGACGATTTTACATTTCCAGTACCGGTAGTTGTGCACGGGGGAAGCAATGGAATCAACCCAGAGTCCCAGCATGTCTGGTTACTCAGAGTCACAGCACGGCCTCATCAAGAACCTTTGGAACTCACAACCAAGCACTCAGACTCCTACTGTGGCCGCTGTCAAACCCAGCCTATCCACCTTGTGCCCAAGACAACTGTGCCGTCCACGCGGGTCCATGAACCGTCGGCCCACCAAAATCTCGGGATCTGCCATAGACAAATGTTACGGGCGATCTAGATAGCGTCAACGAGTTGTGGATACCAGCGAGCCCCCTTGTACTCTCCCCCAAGATCACTACTGATTGCCCAGGAATTGCCATTGTTTTTGCCAGTGGAAGCGGTTGTTGTCACGGTCAGTAGTTGCCTATGGACTCGACTCAAGAAAGAGCTCTTGCACCTACTTGTTGATTGCCGATGGAGCTAACACTCGTCAGCTTTTGATTATTCCTTTGTGTGCTTCATGGTCTCAATGCTGCTGCAGATGGTCTTGTGAGAATAAAGAGGAATAGAGAGCCAGGAACAAACCTCAAGAAGTGCTTTGTGGCTCAGGACTGTTGTTGAGTTGTCGTCCAATCCTGCTGTTTACTGCTGGGAGCTCTTCCAGCAGCACCTTTTAGCGTCTCCGTCTGATGGCTCGTTTTCAAGGAGCCGGGGTGCCTGGAACACCACCAATGGGGTTATTGGGATGGGGACAGCACAGAGCCCCAAGTAACCAGCTCTGTTTACTGCTCGCACTGTGGCCACCAACCTCAAGTGATAAACAAAACTAGATAGCAACTAGTTGGAGAATGCCAAGTTCTCTACTAGTTCGCATGCCGTATTCAGGTGGATTCACTTGCTGCTTTTGTAGCCGCAAGCTGGCGAGAGCAGCCAGCAGTGGCCGCAGTGATTTCGTCTTGAGCAGCTTTGATATGGGAGTCCGTCTCCTGCGCGAATCATAATCATCTACATTACCTTGCAGGTGAATCAAATCGAATCAAGGTTCCCTGCATTTTCGCCTCGAACTCTTGCAATGAGTGCTTGCGTCAGGGCTCATTCTCAGCCTGGATGGACACTTCGGCAGCATCAATGCGACCCTGAACGCTGCCTACAAAGCCTCGAAATTCGGCGCGATGCGCTTGAATCAAAAGCAGGTCACCGTCCTTGTCCGTTTGCTCTTGGTCACGTTTACGCTCTCCAGAGCGTTTTTCCTCCTCCCATTTAAAATGGATGGTGTTTTTATTTAATGTGCATGCAAGGAATGCTCTTCAATTACGAACTGTGTCAAGTCCTTTGCATACAGTACTAGCTAGTTGATTCGTTAGCTGCATTTTCATCTTGCGCTGTTGGTGTATGAGCTCGCGTCTTGCTACCGGTAGTTGAGCGCAAAGGTGGCCTCTGATAGCTCGTGTGTTCCTCTCTCTTCGCAACTCTTCAACAGGTACAATTGATTGAAGATTCGATTGAATCATTCGATTCCAGCTAGCGCTCTCATGGCAGCACATATCTCACACAATGCATGTATGGACAAGAGGAACAGATTTGTCCACATCGTACTATTTTAATAAAAGAGACGTCGAGCCAATCTCCTCTGTCACTTCCCGTGCTTTCGGTGTCAAGCCAGGCTCACCCAAGCGATTTTCTCAGGCAGCGCACCAGATTCGATTCAGGCCTTACGTCCTCTGCTCTTGCTACCGATACTATACGGCACCCCAAAGAACTGCTCCTTGGACCAACATGAACTCCATGTAACTCTCCCGACTTGTCCAAAGGTGTTGTCCGAGGAACAGATCATTTGCAGCCCGTCTGCCATGGGATCAAGCTTTTTATCGTTATTTTGGCCTGGCTTGACAAGAAATCATGAAATCGAATGGATCCTCTGGAAGTTGAGACTGTCACTCGGGCTGCGAACTAGATTAGTACTGCACGCAGACATTGCCAACTCATATAAGTGCTCATGCATAGACAACCTGGGCCGAGCCCACCTGGAATGCATAAAACAAGCCTCATAGTTAGAAAAGGAGCATGTCGCCGATGGTTGTACATCTGCGTGTCTGTTACCCATGCGACCGCCCGAACGTACCGGCAGGAGCATTTTAAAACATGAGAGGAAAAGCACCGAAAGAGCACCAATCCAATGACAATAAGAACAACTCACTGTGCGGCACACCAAATGGTAATGAGGAGCCCTATCAAATCTTAGTTGTCATGTGTGGGAGCCCATCTAGAATCAAGCTCCAATGTGTGCTTCATGGCCTCCTTGCGGCACGGCCTTGTGAGAGTAAAGAGGAATAAACAGCAAGATCTAGGAACAAACCTCAAGAAACGTTTTCGACGAGCGGTACCTTTGTGGCTCAGGATTGCCGGGAGCTCATCCGCAGCACCTTTTAGTAGCTCCCCCCGCGCCAACTTTTGCAACTGCCTTGTTGATTGCTGAGTGCGAGTCTGTTCCCTGTTGTCGTGTTGTCGCCTTGAACTTGGTCTTGGTTTTTGGCTCCGCCGTCGATTTTTCTTCAGGTTTCTCCCTCCAGCCACATTGTCGTCCAGCCGCATTAGTCTACCATGAGCAACCATAGCGCCTTGGTCCTTTGTTTGCAAGAAAAATCGTTCGTTCGTGCATTCCGTTTGATAACAGCGGCAAAATGAGACGGTGCCACCTTCCGCTACTCCAGACCACAACCATCGGTTGACACGATGAACAGCCACTGCCCCAGTCCATCGTCGTGTCGCCTTCCCAGGAAACAAGAGACTGGTGTGCAACCACGGGTTGTTGGAATGTTTTACAAAGCTATCGTTCAGTCTGTGTTACTGTACGGCAGTGAGACCTGGGTTGTGACTCCCACTGTGCTCCAGACATTAGAGGGTTTTCATCATCGCGTTGCCCGTCGCATTGCTGGCAAAATGCCATACAGAAAGCATGGTGACGAATGGGTGTACCCACCGATTGCTGGAGCACTCAAAACGGTGGGACTGTATCCCATTGAAGAATACATTCGCCGTCGACAGAACACAATTGCCCAGTACATTAGCCACC